TACCCCAAAGATCAAAGAGATTTACTGTTATAGGTTTATAATACCAGTGAAAATAACAGTACATATATTATAAAGTATCCTATTATTTTCTACCTACTCCAAATAAAGAAATTATACTATTCAAAAAAAGTAGGGGATATTTGATTTTGGGGGCATAATACTAAAATATGCAAATGACTACGAAAAAAGTCACTATAGAACCTAACAGAAGAAACATTTCCAGTTACATGTGACGCCCAAACGCACCAATAGCTACCGCATGGAATGCAGGTGATGCTTGGGATCATCATGGGGGTCCAACCCAAGATTTGCACGACTCTGACTTTGAATGTTACAGTCATTGTGGCATTGAATTCCAGGGTGGAAACATCAGTTTAATTGTTTTAGTGACCAGAAAACAAATTTTGATATGCGTCGGCTTACCCAAAATGAAAGGTTACGTGCCCTTGGCATGCTACAGATCGGCACAACACAGGCGGTTGTGGCGCGGACGATGAATGTTTCTCAGTCTGTCATAAGCAGGCTATGGTCCAGATACCGTGATACACAATCTGTACAGGACAGACCACGCTCAGGTCGACCAAGGGCGACAACTCAAGCCCAGGATCGATTTATCCGTACCTTGGCCTTGAGAAATCGTGTCATCACAGCAAATCAGATCAGCGCTCGTCTTCAAACAGACACTGGTGTGAGAGTGAGTGGCCAGACGATTCGGAATCGACTGCATAGGGGTCACCTTCGCGCCCGACGTCCTCGCGTGATCCCTTGTTTGAGAGATCATCACATTCAGGCAAGACGTCGTTGGTGTAGGGATCGTCAACACTGGGATAATCGACGCTGGAGCAATGTGATGTTTTCAGATGAGTCAAGGTTCACTGTTGATTTTTTGGACAGACGTAGGAGGGTGTGGCGTCGTCGAAACGAGCGCTTCCAAGACGTTAACGTCATCAGAAATGATCGATTTGGGGGTGGTTCTGTTATGGTGTGGGGAGGCATCACTGTTGCTGGAAGAACGGCTTTACATGTTGTTGCAGGGCGTGTTACAGGCCAGTACTACCGGGACAACATCTTGGCAGTCCATGTTGTGCCGTTCGCACGACGTCATGGCCGCCGTTTCATCTTCCAGGATGACAACGCAAGATGTCACAGGGCCAGGATCGTTACAGGTTACCTCCAACAACAGAACATCACCACATTACCTTGGCCAGCACTGAGTCCCGACCTCTCCCCCATCGAGCATGTCTGGGACATGCTTGGACAGAGGTTACGTCAACGTCGACAACGTCCTGCCAATGTCAAAGAACTTGCTGCTGCGTTGCAACAGGAATGGGACAATCTGGACCAAAATGACCTTAGACGTCTCATTAGGAGTATGCCACGTCGGATCAATGCTTGTTTGGCAAACAGAGGAGGATTTACCCGTTACTGACTTGGTTGTGATGCTGTGGTAACTTTGCTGTTTGACCCCGGGTATCATTTTACCCTTATAATGGTCAGTCTGTGCCTTACTTAGTCTAACGATCATTTGGAATAAATCGATGAATGTGAACTTCATTTCATTTTGTCATTTGTTTCTTCGTCAGTTTCATTAGGTGACTTTAATAACACTTAAAAATCAAATATCCCCTACTTTTTTTGAATAGTATATTTTAGACAACTGAGATTTTTAATATTATCTGGAATGGCAGGACCGACGAAAGGTCTAAACGAAAGACTAGTAAAGGAGTATGAAATCGGTAGGTTAAGAATGCTAAATTTGAACTAGTCATAAAAAGCCTTAAATTGTCATGGATAAAAATAAAACTCCTTTATAGAAAGCACATCTGGGCAAAACTGATACATTGCCAACAAATTCAGAGAAATTAACACCATGTAAAACAAAATGAAATTATTAATCAATTTCGGAACGTTCTTTTTTTTACTTTATTAGCCATAAAACACTAATCTCTAAAGAAACAATTAATGAAAACTGTGTAGCATAATAACAAAATTACCATTTCCAAGAAACCAATCTATTACGCAGAATGGTATACATGGTATAGGATTTATTTATGACTTCCTAGATGAGAAGGTGAATTTAATTAAATTAGTCCAATGCATCACATTTTCTTGGAATTATAGGTCTACTGAAGTATTCCTCGAAAACCATTAAATAATTGGTTAATGTGTTTATTACCATGGCTGTGCAAACCTGCTATGGGTAAAACTATATTCCCAAGGTAGTTTCATAATTTGTTTGTTGCACAGCTTTGTGCATAACCTAAGAGTGAATTCAAATGGGAAACTATAATGTGTAAGACTTTTGTAGAATGTTTGCTCTTTAAATTAGTAGCATTGAATTTATTAATATCTTTGGCAAATTATTAGATTCACATATATGTACTTGTACTTAAATCAAAATGAGCGAATGAATGACAGATTGGTATATAAAAAAGGGTTATAATTTGGTAAACATTAGCTGGTTCCGTGGGAATGAGAATATCATGTTTAACACGTGACTGGAAATTTACCTATTGCATCATTTGGCTTGAGTAACCACGCTCTATTATTATTTACATCATATTTGACCAATTAGATACTTGAAAGTCCAAAACCCAAAGCTATAAATCTATCATGTGAGAATTCGTCGACGAAGGCAGCAGCTTGATTCTGGAAAGGAAAAGATGTTGCGATTTCTATCAGCAGACTCGCCCCAGCGAGCCTGGTCGGATAGGGTTTGAGCGAATGACTTTATTCTATTATGCATTGTATGTAAAGCAGCTTGATATATAAAATGTGAAAACGAACTATTGCATTGTTACAACTACTGAGAAGACAAACTAACTGAGATAGATAAGAATAGAATACACAACCAGAAGTGGAAGCAAAGACATGTGAAAATACTAGACGATCACAAGGCTACTAAGATATGTAGTAAGAAAAGATGCATGGGTCATACGCCGGAGATGTCGACCGGTTTTAGCATGTCCTTCGCACTCCACGTCTGACAGAAGACCCATGGTGCTACAAATGCCCGCTTTCACATGGGCTACGGATGCCACGAATTGTCCCGAATGAAAACTTTTTCCGATTCGTAGATAAATCGTAGACGGTTCTTGAAGTTCTTAAATGATTCTTATTTGGTTCTTACACATTCATATTGTACGTAGCAGTCCGTAGCTCTCCCATTCGTGACCGGTCTACGGATTTCGGAATTTCGTAACCTCGTAAACCCGTCGTAATCCTTTCTGGTCGTCATTCGATTCTTTGACATTCGTGGTCATGCGTGGCTGCCTAAAATTCGTGGAACGATACCCAAAACGCTTCGGACTGGCACGAATGCACCGATCCCGCCAGGAATCAACTACGAATACTCCGAACCCACGAATTGGGGCCGAATGTGCAGAACTAATCACGAATCTGGCGCGAACTAAAACCTCACGCCATCATTCGTGGAGATCGTAGTGTATTCGTAACTGAATTCGTCATATTCGTAACTGAATTCGTCATATTCGTAACTGAATCGCTACAATTCGTAACTGATTCTTTCATTTCGTACCTTTATCGTAACCGTATCTTGACATTTGGCATATTTTTCACCCAATTACACACGGATTATCGTAACGCTTTCGTAAACTATTTGTAACTGCTTCGTAGCTACTCCCGATCCTTCGCGGTGTTTTTTAACTTTTTTTGTCAAATCGGCGCGAATTTCGATTAGGCGCTATTCGGGGCGATTCGTGGCATTCCAGAAAAAAAGAAAAAAGTAGGCTATTTTGTGTAAAAATTACGTAGAAACTATCAGTCACATATCTGTGAAAGGTTTATCCGTTGGTTTAATTTGATCCTAACTCTGACCTAACCTCGTCTTCCATAGATAATTGAAGTCATATAATTTGCAAATTAACATGCTCTTGTTAATTAAAAAAGGTGGTTCATAAAAATAAAATGTAGAAATAAGATAGACCTATAAAACTTGAAAAATACAAAATGGATTTGAATGATGGGGAATAGACCAAAGGGATGCTTTAGAAGCTTTGCTTTTTAAGTGAATGCTCTGGCATAGACCAGTGGGGCTGTGGCGGCTCAGTGCACAGGACGCTGGCTCGCTAACCAGGCGGTCTCGGGATTCTGCGACGTGGTACCCAGGACGGAGAGTCTGGCAGGGACAGTGTCTAGTCGTTCGGATGGGACGTAAAAACCGAGGTCCCGTGTACACAATGGCGTGTACGTAAAAGAACCATTGAGAGTTTGGAATTCGATATAAGAGTAGGTCGTAGCAAAAGAACAGTAAGAGGTTAAACCCCATTTACCAGTGGGTTTTTTTGATTGGGAGGGGGCGGGGCGCAAATGTGAAATGATCATTTATACTTATTTAGTTATTATCAGGTTGCTTTATGACAATGCAGAGCTAATGGGTTCTATGGACTATGCCATTACGCTTCCCTTTTTTTCTCTCATTTAGACAAATATTCTACAAATATTGAAGACTCTTAGGTTCTCGGTGACCGATACTTATGAGCCCTAGCCCGACCGGGCAGTAGACCTATACTCCTGAGTCCGACTGGGTAATAATTTAGTACAAGTAGTCTACGTTTGCGATAGATACATACAATCATGAATAAATCAAAAATACAGTCAGCTGAAAAAATCAATCATTTTTGCGAATGAGTTCTTCATTCTAAACCACGGTTATACTCGCCCCCCCCCCCCCCGCCCTGACTGCCGTTAATTCGTGTTTTATATTAAACACTAATACCCACATATAAAAATGTGTGTTTATGGATTTAACGTTTGCACGAGAAAAATAGAACATAAAAAAATCAAGGCTATTTGATAAAATTTAAAAATTACCCCCACCCCAGACTAAATTACACCCTTTTCGTGGCAAAATCGGACTTTCACGATACCACTTCGGGTTTTCGAAAGGTTAAAGTTAAAGGAGCTAAATTTCTATTCTTTAACTTAAATAATAAAGGGAGATAAATATTTTGTTTACAATTTTAACCGGAAGTTCCAGTCTGTTGTAAAAACACGTGTTGAGAAAATGTGAAATTGAAGTCGGTGGTAATCTAGAATTACGCTAAGTTTTTGTATTTTGTTTGAGTACAGATAATTATAGAAATATGGGGAAGAAAGACCAAACGTTCAGGGTAAGATTAGTGTCAAATGATTCTTGATAAAGAAATACATACTGTCGCTGTCACATTCACACGGTAATAGTATGAACTTCAATTTTCAAAATGAAGCAAGCACAAGGAAGGAAGGAGTCTAAAGATTTCTGAAACCCTTAGATGAAACTTGGCGTTAGCTCCCGTAGATAAACTTCAATTGTACAATTAGACATTCCCATATACATGTCTCTCTCTGGGAACATCCACGATTTCTTTTCCATAAATGAAATGCTTGAAGCCCGTCATTGAAGGTGTGATAAGAATTGTCACACCTGAAATGGGGGAGAGGGGCCTCAAAAAGACATTCACAACCGCCTTAGTGGCTTTATTTTGGTAACTTAATGTGCTAGAGATGATATTGAACTATAAAAAATGGATGAAAATTAAAAATAATGACTTTGAAATTTGTAACTTTGGAAAATATGCCCAGCAAGGGAAATCACAAAGTCTCACACAGGTGCCTGAATATATACACTACAACCATCAAGTATTCAAATTTTGAAAACTGTCTTTGCTTTAGCACACCAAGTCCTTATTCAGCTGTTTGTGCAGTGAATAAACATTGTTAACATTTTTATGATTTCTTAATTCAAATTTTGAAAACTGTCTTTGCTTTAGCACACCAAGTCCTTATTCAGCTGTTTGTGCAGTGAATAAACATTGTTAACATTTTTATGATTTCTTAATTCACCCTTCAAAACTTTGTGCCTGAAAGTATAAAGATATCTAACAATTAAACATTGGACATATTTACTAAGTTTTACTCTAAAATATTTTGAAATACATTTTACTGAATATTTATTTACACTCAAAATAAAACAGCATTTGATATATGTTAGATTGTACACTAATGGTTCACTATTGAACATGGAAGCGTCTAACTGAACTGAATGTATGTTAGAGGATGTTTGATATTGGGGGAGAAGCTACGTTGCAGAAAAAAAATGTTTATGTTTATACAAACGGTGAAGTGTTTTCTTACTAAACGGAATACGGTATAGTCGTGTGTATAGTGATGTAAATGAAACCTTTACACATTGATAAAATGTTCTGGTAAACATTGTCAGTTTAACAATTATTCGCATCGCCCATCTAAAGATACGAAGGGCCATTTTCTAGATTGATGGAAACAGGAAAAGAAATTTAAAATCTAAGACTTGACTACTGTACTACATAGATCGGGGGGGAGGGGTGTTGGATGGCCGATTGGTTAGCATGTGTCCGCTGTATCATAAGGTCTGTCATTGAGTCAACTGGCAGGGTTTCAATTCCCAGGTTGTACGTGACAAGGAGTAGGGTCGCCTGTCCAACCTTCTGGGTTTTCTCAAGGTCCTCCGGTTTCCTTCCCTGCTAAGCGAATTATTGAAATAAAATTGAACCATGTGTTGGTCCCGAAATGACCTAGATGGTAGCACTTTACCTTGCCCCTTAAAAACAAAACAAGTTTTTACGATATAAAGAATAAATCCTATTTTTATTTTGGTTTTTAAAATATGTGTCAGTACTCAGTATCCATTTTTCGTGAGCTGTGTCGTGATTTGACATGACCATGGCCAAATATATTTTCAATCGAAAGTGAGAATAATGTCAACTCAGATTATGACTTCAGTTTCACCTTGCAACTCATTTTGTCTGTAATATCTTATAAATAAGATGTATACTTTTATCACAAATATACACAGTTTAATGTGCGAAGCGACACAACTTTTGCATAACTGCAAACATTTTCATTTAAGTTATTAAGTATTTGCTGACCATAATACAAACACACAATGTTGTGCTGCATTACTCATGAGCCAACCAGAGAGAGAGAGAGAGAAATGGGGTTTAAGTCCACTTGACTCAAACTAGGTCATTTTGGGACTAATGAGCCAACCATAAACGTACTAAGTAACAGTAGTAGTCTATGTACATCTTCTGGTTTGGATTTGAAATGAAAATAAGCAACACAGTGCTGTTATAAACAAAACCTGATCCTTAAAATCTGTCACAGATCTTAATCTAAACTATATAAATAATTATAGTAAAATATGTTTTGTTTTTAGTACAAGTCCTTCACAGATAGAATATCAAAGATCAACATTGATGTCATTCGTAAGATACGACATAAAGATGATACTATCACAGTAAGTGTTTTTTAAATTCTTTATGCCAAGATTTTATGTGGGCATATTATCAGCTACATGTATGTCTGTCATTTGTGTTGGTCAGGCACCATTTTGTTGTATACACTACACATGTTGGACTACTTTGCAGATTTTTACATATTATACCTTAAAACTGAAATTAAAACTAAAAATAGGTTGATACGTTATTGTGCCTTTATTATGTAATGTATATAATATTTTAGATGTATGATTTATAATGATTAGCTTCATGAATTACTGCAAGATAAGTTAAATTATTATCTCCCTTTGATGCGTCAATTCATTGGGAATAAACTAAGCTCTTGCAGTGATACTAGTTTATTAACTACCAGTGTATTGAACCAGTGATGGTACCTGAAGTGATATAAAAATCAAAGGTGGCGAGTACCATCTCGGAATTTACCATTACTAAATGACTAACAATTGTTTAAAGATACATTATGGGAGATTAGATAAAGAGCTGGCAGTTGTCACTATAATAGTTAAAAACTAGATAATGTAAAGGGAATTTGCTGAAAATTTCAGTCAAATTGATCCACTATGAATCCAGATTTTATCGATTGAATTTTCTGCGTAGCCTCGATCATCATTACTAAAGTCGGTAGGATATAAAACATAGTCTCGATTATCCATTTAATAATTAAATTATGAATGGAAGTCGAACAGCAAATCGGAACCTAATCCAATAAACATCGCAGGCTAGCGATGACATTGAGAGTTGATTATGATCTGGATAAGTTAATTATTGTCTAATTAATAATTTAGATAACATTTCAGGCCTAAAGAAAGACCTGCAATAAGCAGATTTAGCTCTTGCATAATGTATGTTTAACCATAATAAAGTATGAAATTATGAATTCTAATTTGATTTGATATTTTCACTGATGACATCAAGTATGGATTTATAACCTATTATAGGCCATTTAATTGCTTGTATCGTTGAAACTTTAAAAATTTGTTAGCTCTTCATTAACATGAATTTGTATAATAGTGAAAAAATTACATTGTAAAATGTATGTTATGTTTCATAATATTATATTCAGATGTTTTATATTATTTTTAGGAAGAATCTACCTATTTTTATGAAGCTATAAGAAAATGGGTTGATCTAGATTGTACAGAGGATTTTTGTAAGTCATTATGTAAATTTTGCTGAGAAAGTTCATCAGGATTTTCCGATGTGGTTTCCCCTTGTCAGTGGTGCAGGACGGAGGGCCTGACAAAGACAGCTGTCTAGTCCGTCGGATGGCATGACAAATTGAGACCCTGTGTGTACATTGGCTTGCCCATGAAAGATTTCTTGGAAATTGGAATTCGATATAATAGTAGGCCATAGTGCCGTTTTCCCAGGCAAAATTTCACTCATAGTACACTGCATGGTGTATGCCCGTCTTCATTAGCCCAGTCGAAGCAGAACAGTAGGACGTTAAACCCCATTTCATTATGTAAATTTAAACTTCATTAGTGACTAATGTTATTACCAGAACTTACACATTAAACCTATATTTTGTTTCATAATGTTTCAGATAAATTCAGGTGCGTTATTGCAAATCAGTTTCAATCATTTGAACAGCTAGTTCATAATGAGGTAAGATATATCATAGTTTTCATTTAACGTGTTACCCACAAGTAGAATTAAAATTAGTGAATATTCTCCTGTAAAGTTTTCTTGGGCATTTAGAAATGTGTAAAATGTTTATCAGAAAAAAATAATTTGAGCAAAAATATTCTGCAGATGGATTGTTGTTCTTGTCATGAAATAAGACATGTTAGATTTCTACATACATTGCCTTAAACTGAATTTATCCAACAAAAGTAAATCTTATACATTTACATATAAAATTTTCAGGAGAATATTGTGGCAGGCCTGAAAGAACATCTTCAAGTACCAAACAGTATGGCTATGGAATCTTTGCTGGAGTGAGTTAACCAAACTTATTATTCCATTTAATAATTGTGAAGTGTATACACCAGAGTAAAACATACTGTGAGTCGGTGCAAGCTAAAATAAATCAATTGGGACTTCTCTAGTATGTCGTGATATTGAAGTGACCTCCAGGGCATTCACTAATTTTTACACTAATTTCTTCTGTGCATGTTTGGTTTTAGATAATATTGTTAGTTATTTTTTTTACCCTCTATTGATTTACTGTAGTGCATTGAAATATATTTGAAAAAAAAATCTTTATATTTTCAGTTTGGTTGTGCAGCTAGCACGAGATTTACAATCCGACTTCTACAAACATTTCAAAGACTTTCTCTTCATTTTAACCAACCTTTTGAAAACCTACCGACAAGATCCAACAATATTAGAAAAAATATTTACAACTTTAGCATACTTATTTAAATTTTTGTGGCGTTATTTAGTTAAAGATATACAAGAGGTATATGGGTAAGTACATGTAAGATATCTTTAACAACCCTTCATATTTGATTAATAGGTTCCCCCCCCCCTCTATGTGAGTAGTTTTAAATGAAAGAGTTGTTATCATGGAATCTTGTTTCTCCGTATAATGGTAAATATATCTATAAATATTTTTCAGGTTTTTTTCTGTACTATTACATGGTAAACAGAGAGATTTTATTAAAGATTTTGCATCAGAAAGTTTCTCTTTTCTGCTGAGAAAGGTAGGTATTAACTATTAACTCAAAATATATTAAAGATACATTAGTTAAGAGTTTTATAAAGATTTGGCCATTCTTGCTATAATAATTCAAAAATAGATGATAAAAAAGAAAATGTTGAAAATTTCAGTCAAATTACTTTGTTCTGAACGGAATTGTCACTGTTGGAAATTTGAACTAGAAATAGGCATCAATTGTGTCTGCACCGTCTATGAGAATTGGCGATTGTTTGAATGACAGACGATAACTCCACGCACATATTCTCCATTATCAAGTAGCCTCGCTTGGCAGGCTTTCATCACCAGTTTCCTGTAGTGACATCAGCGACTAATGGTAAACGTTAGCTTGGTCCGCCATTTATTGATTTAATTTTAAATGGACGACTGTTTAAATCCAAACTGTATCCAAGCCATCCGAGGGTCTGCAGAGTTGATTTTGAGTTTGTCATGTAAATAAAGGTCTCATTAATAATTTCTATAACATCTGAAGCCTAAATAAAGACTTGCAATAGGCAGATTTAGCTCTTGCATAATGTATGTTTAATACTGTTTACTTCTTTAAAATGTTTACACATATATATTAGAATAATGGGGGTTAACTCTACTTTAATAGACACAAATGATATCAAACAAATTCAGACAATAATTAATTTTCTTTCAGGTTCCTGATCAAAACAAGTTGTTGAATTTTTTGTTTAAAAGTCTGAAACAATCACCAGAGGTACTATGTTTGTTTTTCTTGTATATAATTTTTTTAATTTTGATATCATGGTGTGTAATTACATATAACTTTGAATCGAATATTGATTATATAATTGTTTTATTTGATTATTATAGACATCAGAAGGATTGGGTAAACTACTGTTTGAAGTGATCAAAGGCGTCAATCACCAATTTCATAGTATAAGTGAACAGGTACGTAATATCCATTATTATAGTTTATGCAATTACTAACATGCATTTAGTTTATGCAATTACTGACAGTTGTCATTTATAGCATTTAGTTTATACAATTCCTGACAGTTATCATTTATAGCATTTAGTTTATACAAGCTCTACATATTTAATACAGAGTCATGTATTGTAGGTGAAAATATTATTAAGGGGTGGCTGAAAAGTTCTATGCCTGAAAATGATAGATCAATTGGGTTGAAACAGAAATGGACAAAACTGGCTATAGGGCAGTCATTAAGTACCTGAATCTGAAAGGACTAACCCCAACACACATACATGCCAAAATGGTCTCCACAGTAAAGAAGTGGAATGTGGAATTTAAGCGTGGCAGAGAGAACCTTGACGATGACCTTCGTCCTGAAAGGTCATCAACAGCAACCATTCAAGAAGACACTATGCGGGTGCATGACATGGTGATGGCTGATCGACGATTGAACACTCGACATACTGCCAGTGTCGTGGTCATCTCTCATGAGTTGGTTGAGTACATGATCGCCAACGAGTTTGGAATGGCAAAAGTTTCCGAAAATGGGTGCCAATGACTGCGGATCAGAAATGTGTCAGATTCCTGATGTCCCGTGACAATCTGCGCCGACTTGAAGCTGACCCTGGTAATTTTTTGGCCAGATTTGTAACCATGGATGAGACCGGTTTCCAAAAATGTAAAAGGAACTAGCCGGTCGTCACTTTCCTGTTAATGATGACATCATGGCAGCTGTGAACAACTTTTTTTTTAGGGTGGCTGAAGAAAATTTCTTCCTGTCTGGCATCAAGGCCTTGCAACATCATTGGCAAAAGTGTGCACACCTAAAAGGGGACTAATATAAATGGAAACCATCGACTTTGTACAGGTCTTTCACAGATAGACTTAGAACTTTTCAGCCGGCCCTCTTATCTTAATAGCTCCTAATGTAGACAATCAAACAAAATTAAATGATGATTTTTGTTGTGATGTTTTAAATCACCATCTTATATATTTGCAGCTTTTACCTATATTATTTTATAAACTTGGTCCATGGAACCCAGATGAAAAGAAATGCAAGCTACCTTGGAAATTAGTAGATAAATCAGTAACTTTCTTTATGGCAGAATGTCTTGAATACACCAAGAAAGAATATTCTGAAATATTGTGGAGCACATTATTGGTATGTATAGAGTTTCTGTTTACATAAACAAGTGACACACATGTAAAATTCAAAATCTTGTTAATGTATTTTATTGATAATGATTTTTCTGTGTGTTTTATAGGATACTATAAGTAAGGTTCACGTTGCTTGTAAATGTATTTTTCTTTGTGTTATAGGATACTATAAGTAAGGTTCATATAGCTTGTACAAAGAGTAATGATGAAGAACAGAAAACATTATGTTGTCAACTTGCCAGACAGATAAATCTACTCACTATGATGATCAAATGTAAAAATGGTGGATTGATGATTTCTACTGATAAAATTGGAGATGTAAGTTTCAAATATTTGGGTAAAGGCTATAAGACAACTGCAATTAGTCTAAAATCAGTTGTGTGGGTGATGTCATTACATGTGTATTTGTTCTCCCCACAGTTAACAGAAATATATGTTCAAATCTGTATTAATATGATGCATATAGCGATAGTTGTTGGATGATCTTTGTGAATATTTTATTAATGAGAAGCAAATTTAATGAATATTTTAAGGGTATTAGAACCTAAAAATGCATAATGCTTGGCCTAGCGCCTACTACCTTGATATATAATATTTTCTTTTAGTTTCATTTAGAAGAATAAAAAGGTTTATTTTATGATCAGTAGTGGAATACCACGTTTTATCAGTGAAATAAAAGTGTTATTCCACTGGCTAGCAGTAGTCCATGTTGTTTTTACCTAAAATGATTGTAAAATCATAAAATAAATAGAACATTTGTCGTTTTGTCGTGAATAACATATTTTATTTCATCTCTAAGCAAGAAAACGTTTATATTTTCACGATGAAATAAAATATGTTATTCACTCTAAAACGACAAATATCCTCTATGTGTTTGTCATAGTCTAAACATTTTTATACGCCCACATTGAAATGTGGTCAATATTGTTGTCAGGTCATCCGACCGTCCGTCATGAGACGAAGAAGTCAATTGATTTTCACTGATTTCAGATAATTACTGTCAGAGTTATGGCCCTTGATCACTTTGAAAAATCTTGTTGATGCTTTAGAGACCATAGTTATCATCTGATTGATTTTATATTTATACACTGTGTGTACGCCTATATATAATTGTTTAAGGTCTTGAGACGAACAAGTATATTGATTTTCAATGATTTTTGATAACTTGAACAGCTAAATCCGTGATATTAAATGGTCTGTATACTAAACGTTAGCATGTGCCAAACAAATTCTAATGATTTTATGATAATTACTTTAGTGTATTATAAATGTTTAATTACCGACAAAAGTAAAGATATGCAACAACGTTTGTTGACTGCCAGGACGATTTAGCTGCTGTGGGCATATGTTTCATTGCCTGGCAACCTATCTTTTGTTAAATGGTTAGCCATGCATGTGGATAAAAGTCATTTTAAATGTTTTCGAAGCAATAGAATATCTGACATGTATCCTTCTTATTTTATTTTAGGTATTAAATGGTATATGTAAAAGTCCAGCAGATAAAACTATTATAGCCAGCTCCTTATTATCATGTATATCTACATTATTAACAAATACCTATCTTGTATCATCTACACAGAGTTTAATATCTAATCCATTTAAACAAAGTTTCCCTCTACAAGATCTAGTTATATTCACCAAAACTCTCACCAAGCTTCATATGTTTGAAAAGGTATGTAGACATCTGGATTTTTATTTACAGAATGATAATTTATGATAAAAATTTTATAGGGAAGTTCAGGTTGGTTGGAAAATTAATGTCTTTTTTTTTTAAAAGAAATGTTAGAGAAATGAATTGGGGGGGGGGGGCTATTACTGTACTTAGATTTTGTCAATGGCAACAGGGTGCTTAATTTGAACATGCCGCTTATTGTTATTTACCTACGTTCTTAATAACATTTGTTTTCTAGGATGTGCTGCCTAATTTACTATTGTATATAAATAGCCATTTTACTACAATGGATGAAGATGATAGAAATCTTGTAGTACAGATATTAGTTGATATAATACTACAGAAATCTGTACTTAATATAGAAGATGGTTCAGATATATTAAAGTTAAAGTTATATAAGTTATACAGTAAATATAGTGACAAGTAAGTTTATATTATTTATCTTAAAGATTTCATTTTTGGATTTAAAAATATCAAGAGCTTGTTTTCTTCTATGCAGCAGTATGTTGATGGATTATGCTGAACAATTTTTATTTTTCATATAAATGTTTATATCTTGTTGTTCTTTTACAGATATGAAGTTAAGTGTGTCTATGAGTATATGATTAAATACCTAAAAACATCATGTAAAGATATAAATAAACAAACACTGTATAGATTATGGTCTTTCTTGATATGCCTACCTAATATATGGTAAGATTATTATTACAAATATCTATATGTATTAATTAGTAATAATGAATGCTATATTGTTCATTCTTCTTATAATTAGTTGATTATTGATGATGTGATGATTGTTAATTATATGTGTTTATGACAAAGAGTTCGTTCACCTGTCTAATATCCTTGTTTTTCTCCAGATACCTGAGTTTCCTGCAGCTGCTAAACACCCACATTGATCCTAAAATAACCTAGTTATACCACATTTCTCTTTTGTATCGTAATTATATTAAATAAAATCTTATCTGTTATCTGTTTTCTGTATTATGTTGTTTGTTTTTTTTTAGTTCTGATGTAAAACAGGTTGTTAGTATATGTACTATGATGTGGAATTCTTTGTTTAAAGTTGTTAATAAAATAAATTGTGGTGAAAAGAAAGGTGAGAGATTTTGATATTTTAGAAACACATTATAGTTTGTTCTGTTGACTTAAACATACATTATGCAAGAGCTAAATCTGCCTATTGCAGGTATTTCTTTAGGCCTGAGATGTTGTATAAACTATTAATTAGACATTTATTAGCAAAATAAGACCATGATCAACTCTTGATGGCATCTGATACTCGAGATTTTAACTAGATTAGAATGGTTCACCATTTGAAAATTTAATTTAAAAATGGGAAAGCGAGGCTCAGTCTTGATCATACCAGTGCCGTGGTTACAACTATGCGCACATCGTGTCAAAATTATGATCTTGGCAAGTTAATAAATGTCTAATTAATAATTTATATAACATTTAAGGCCTAAAGAAATAGGCAGATTTAGCTCTTTAATAATGCAGCTTTAACAAACTATAGATTATATTTTGAAGAGCTCTTACCATTTTATACTATTGTTCAAACTGTATAAAATTGTTTATATTTGTTAAAGCTGCTGATTATCATTCGATTATTTCAGAGCTTAATCCATGCTAAAATTTACTTATATCGATTATTTAAAATTTAATAAAATAAAATAAAAATAGCATCGGTAGATAATTTCCTGGTCATATCCCAATCTGATTAAAACACAGATCTTATTTTGTTTCGTTTTTTTTTTGTTATAGTTTAAAATTTTGTGTTGTTTGTCTTCACTACACTAGCTAGGACCTGGATGAGTTGTTATATAACCTGCGTTCTGGTTGATTTGAGGGTTTAGCCAATGAAACGGTCTGTGTTTAAATCAGATTGGGTCATATACTGTTTAAAATTTAGAAATTGAACAATCACCATTTTGTGTTTCCTGTTTTATAGATAAGATGTTATTTATTATGAATCAAGTATTAGTTAACTATTTGTTGTTGTGTAAAGATGACAAGAGTTGTACATACACTGACATTTCCTGGTCACAGATTCTACAACTTATTAAGTAAGTAAAGTGAACCATCACACAAATAGTCCACCTGTAGAATTAAGTTTTCATTATATGTCTAGACCTGATTGATTTGTGTCAAAAGTAAAATTGTCAATTTCATTGGATTTTATATATTGAGTTTTTTTGTCTGTCTTTTGTAACATGAATTAATTCAACAGATTTTTGTCCTTAATCGAAAAAAGACATTGAATCAAACAAATTCAGTTATTTACAGGGGTTGATATAAATCAATTATGTATTATTTTAAAATTTTATTTAAAGCCATCTGTTTGAAGAAATCTGATGAGTCTAACCCTTGTCAGATTTCTTACAAAGAGGTTCCTAGGTAACAGAGGGTAATACAATAGCTATTATAATGTATTGAATATGCCTTGAACTATTGCTGAATTGTATCTTTTTATTTCCAGAGCGTATCCCCAGAATGTCTTAATATTGCGATTAGGTGATTTGTATTTAAGTCAAGCAGCACAAGATGGTTTATCTGTAATAAATGACGATAATCTACTGAAGTTATTTGATATTTTGCAACCTAACTTAGCTCATTGGTCTCATAAGGTATCTAAAACATTATTATGTACATTATATTTAATATTTAGGTAGAATCTGTTACATTTTTGAATAAATGGAGAGAGAGAGAGAAATGGGGTTTAACGTCCACTTGACACAAACTAGGTCATTTCGGGACTAACATATAGTTCAATTTTATTTCAATAATTCGCTTGCACGTAGGGGTCTTTAGCAGTGGAAGGAAACTGGAGGACTCGGAGAAAACCGACGAGGTTGGACAGGCCACCCTACTCCTTGACACGTACAAACTGGGAATCGAAACCAGTTCACTTGGCGCAATGACAGACCTTATGATACAGCGCACATGTGCCAACAATTCAGCCATCCAACCCCTCTTGAATAAATGGAGGTGAAAGTGAGACATGACAAATATTTTGATCATTTTGTTAGTCTCAAAATAATCCAAGTAGAAAAATAAAATTTTACTAATTTACAAATGTTTATTATTATTTTTAGATTCGGTTGTTGTCTCTTCATATTTTATCTATATTTCCTGTAAAGCTACCAGTTGTAGAAGAGGTTAGTTTCTATTTGTACATATACCAAACATACTTGTATAAATTATGAACTGTTAAGAGGATCTTTCATAAATTGTCAGAGATTTATGCAAGCCTACGATATTATATATATATAGATATGCCTACATGCCCTGCCAAAACAAAACTACATTACTTTCCTGCTTTGACCCAATTTCATTATGAAAATAGTTAGTATTTATTCATTTACGTAGCCTCCATCACATTACATAAATTGCTCATATTCTATAAAATATATAAAGAAGATTTAAACTATAAATATATTATGTTTTATAGGAAATAGAACAGATGTCAGTATTGGAGATTTGTTTATCAGCAGAAAGAACACCAGCTAGTGTACAGAAATATAGAGAACGTATTGTACATCTACAAAAACTAGATTACAACTTAGTACATAACTTTCTTCCTATTGGTCCTTTTAATAAGGTGAGTTAAAATTTGAGCATTAACACATTATGTTATTGCCTAGCATAGGGTGGTGACTGGATAACAAGATCTAAATTGTTTTGTAATGTTAAGCATTTTTATATGATATGGACAATATGTTAGTAAGTGAATAACAATAATTAGTTTTACTTATTTGATTAACGATTGTGACTGCCATTGAAATAAACGTTATTTAAAGAATTGGTTGATTTCTATACTCTCCGGCAATCCAACCTTCATTCTTCAGATGATCAGAGCATTTTGAGGATTCCTAAATATAATAAACATTCTGGTAAATATGCTTTCTCTGTCGGAGCAGCTAAAATTTGGAATGATCTTCCAAAAACTCTTCTAGAGTCCTCTTCCATCCAGAGCTTTAAGACTAACTTAAAAGCATATTTATTTCAAAAATGTTCTCGAAACGTTTTGTTGTGAATGCGCTTAGTGTATAAATCAAATAATAACAATATAAGCATCATCTTACAAATATTGTTTATTTTTATATTTCTATCTTCTTCCACATAGGTACCATTACTGTACCTAATAGGCAACCTGTTCTGTAATCTCACATTACTATGGGAGAAAGTTAGGACATTAATTTCAACTCATGCTGAAAATATGGATACATCTGAGTTTTGGAAGGAATTCAAGCAACAACTTGATTTTGCTTCTTTAAAATCAGGTATGATATTGCTGTAACTGGAATACATCTAAAGTACATACTGTTATATATTTTCTAACAGCATATTATACTTAAACAAATATTATTGATAAAGAGAGAGAGAAAGGGGGTTTAACGTCTACTTGACACAAACCAGGTCATTTCGAGACTAACATATGGTTCAACTTTATTTCAATAATTCGCTTGTGCGTAGGGGTAAGGGAGAAAAAAAAAACGAGGATGGACAGGCATTATTATTGATAGATAACAGAAATAAGATCTTGATTCAAATAGATAAATGTTTTACAAGTATGTACTGTAAATGTCAGAATTTAATGTTGAATTTTTTAGCTACCGGTAGTTAAATTCACCTGAAACATCGTCACCATTCTATCTTTGAACATACATTATGCAAGAGTTAAATCTGCCAATTGCAGGTCTTTCTTTAGGCCTGAAATGTTATCTAAATTATTAATTAGACATTAATTAACTTATCCAGACGATAATCAACTCTCGATGGCATCCCTAGCCTGCAATATTTACTGGATTAGAACCTGGTCTACTGCTTCTGATTAAATAAAAAAAGTGAAAAACGAGACTATGTTTTTTATCGTAACGACTTTAGTAATGATGATCGAGGCTAGGCCCCAAATTTAATCGCTAAATACTTGGTTCAGGGTGGATCAATTTGACTGAAATTTTCAGCAAATTCCCTTTACATTATCTAGTTTTTAACTATTATAGTGAGAACTACCATCTATAGACTTTTATAAATGAACTCAATAAATACAGGCATGTGGTTGGTATGTTTTTCTTGAAAATGACATTTTATTGTATTGTTGATATTTTACTAGAACAAAGTTTGGTGCGAGGAAGAAGTGTTGGAGAGGAAGGTAATGATTTAGAAAATGAAGAAGTTGATGATAATTTGGATCTTTATATGGACTCATTATTTGAAAATCATGTGACATTCTGTAAGGAGGAAGATAGACAGCCTGATTTCACCATATTTAGACTAGAACTGTGGAAAGCTATGCAACAGTTCCCTGAAGTTTGTGAAAGTCAGATTGATGATATTGGTGATATGGTCCTAAAATTTATCAAGTGAGTCACATTGTTTTAATAAAAAGCATCAAGTGTTTAATATGTTTTATTGGTAATTTATGCTCCAATTTGTCTGACTGGAGTCGTTCGGATGGGACGAAAAACCAAGGTCCCATGTACACATTGGAATTTGATATAAGAGTAGGCCGTAGTGCCGCTGTCTGGGCAAAATTTCCCTCATAGCACACTGTATGGTGTATTCCCGTCTTCATTAGCCCAGTTCGGAGCAGAACAGTAGGATGTTAAATCCCATTTCATTTCATTTGTCTGGCTTGAAGCTATTTATGACATTGAAATATATATTTATAGAGTGTCTACCGGTTATTTAATTAACAACAAACGTAATCAAGTGTCTATGTGGTCAACTTAAGCTAACTTCTATGTTCATTCCCGTCCTCATTAGCCCAGTCGGAGCAGAACAGTAGGATGTTAAACCCCATTCCCATTTCATTTCTATGTTTATTCAACTCATCCTACACAGGTGACGGCGATATAATCCATTATTGTACAAGAATGATGGTTTTTTTTCTCTATTTATAGAGATGAGTATTTTCCTACTGATGTTGATAAAATACCATCACAGAATATCAAATATAATAAACGTGAACATAAGACAAGTGATGATGAAGATGATGATGAGGATGGGGATGCAGTAGAGGAGGAAGACGAAAATGAAAACACTGACCAACAGAAAATTCCTTTTTCATTTAGGAGGAAGAATGCTGCTTCAAAGTAAAGTTTTATTTCCAATATATTTTGCTATTTACGTATCTTGAAATTTAAGGATATGCATCAGTTATGTTTGGGTTTTTTTTATAAACAATATTTTATTCATATTGTCTGAATTGGATTGAGGAACAGGCTTAGCCTATGTAAAACCCCCTCTCCCTATTATTGTTACTGACTTTAAAGTCTTACGCATGCTCTAGAGGCATTAGTTTGTTCTTTTAAGTGTATTAAAGACGACACAACACATTTTTGATATAGAAACAAATTATAACAGCTTATAAATGATATTGGTAATATATTATTATACATCATATGTCTAATTATATATTTTATAGATCACTTGTAACACATCTCCAGCTGCTAGCTTTATTTACTAAACCTAAAAAGATGAGAAAACATCCCCAGTTATTAGATCTATATACACAGGTGATTATACTTTATATAGATTTATATTATAATTTCTATCAATCTTTTACCTGTATTCTAATCTGATTATATTTTCTCTTGTAGTTTTTACAACACCAAGATCCAGAAATACAAACAATAGCCTTTAAATGTCTGCTATGTTACAAGTTTAAATATATAACTCCATACAAGTAAGTATATCCATGTTATTTCAGTGTTTCTGGATTTCTCTTGCATTGATTGATTCATGCAGTTTACAATATCAAGTAGCAAAAAATGCTGTAACGGATACAATTTCAAGACATAATTTCAACCACTAATTCTTTGGGGTTTTTTTAATTATAGGGATCATATACTAAATATATTAAACAATACAACATTTAAAGAAGAACTGATTGTATTTGGTTTAGATGAAGAGATTACAATAATTAAAACAGAACATAGAAAAGATATTCTACCACTTTTATTGAGGTAAGTTGAATATTTACATCTCCTTCATTTTTAGTGTTTTCTGACATTCTATTTGGATTATCACCCTTATTGTTAATTTGATTTTGAAGTTCTAACTTGTGATGTCAAATGACAGACTTTTGCCATTCTGGAGACGACTGGAATGATTGCATTATTTCTATTATGTCCTTCTTGAAAATCATTCATTGGTTTGCTTTTGTTTTTATTTTGAGGGGGGTGGTGGATGGCTGAATGGTTAGCGTGCGCGCGCGCTTTATCATTAAGTCTGTCATTGAGTCGACTGGCGTGGTTTCGAATCCCCGGTTGTACGTGACAAGGAGTAGGGTCGCCTGTCCAACCTCGTGGGTATTCTCTGGGTCCTCCGGTTTCCTCCCACTGCTAAAGACCCCTATGCGCAAGCAAATTATTGAAATAAAATTAAACCATATGTTAGTCCCGAAATGACCTAGTTTGTGTCAAGTGGACGTTAAACCCCATTTCTCTCTCCCTCCTTAATCTTATGGCAGACAATAGAGTGACCTTTTGTAAACTCAAAGGCTGGCAAAATAACAGGAAAAGAATTATACAGTAAAGATTATAAATAGTTAAATGTTCGTAAAACTGTGATAACTAAGTCATCAGTAAATGGCCAGCCATAACTTTCAGTTAATGGCCTTTTAATTAATATGACCCAATGAATAAATTTAGTTTTTGTCACTACAGTAGGTTTTAATGACTAAAGTCTATTGATTGGATGTTAAGTCCCATTTCTATCTCCCTCCAAACAAATTAAATGTCCGGTGTTATTATTTATGTTACAGAATATTATTTGGTAAAATGTTGAGTAAAGCCAGGAAAGATGGATCTGGTAGAATAAAAGATACATTAAGAAAAGATATGATATTCAGGTTTTTGAGTGGGTGTACAGAAGATGAATTAGAATTTTACTTGAAACTTGTCTTTTCACCGATTACTCATTTTATCACAGGTACTGAAGTAACTTTATTTTTTTGTCACATTAGAAACTAAATCACACCTGTTTGGAATATTTTTTAAGTGTCTTGCTGGCAGTACCCCATATGTGTCATCTTGAATACAAATCAAATCAGTTGCACCAAATTATGTCATTAATTATCATTTTAATATAGGGTTAATTCTAGAAAAAACAGCCGTTTAACAAATTTAATTTGTATATCTTGGACTTGCTTTTAAATATCACTAAATATTGTTATTATAGACAATCCTTTGGATATGGTGAGGCAGGTTGAAAAGAGCCTTGATTTAACAACTGTGATACCATTAAAAAAACTAAAAGCGTAAGTATATTGCTGTACTTAAAATATCCCATAAAAACTGTGTTCTGTTAATGTGTTCCCCGATCGCTAAATGCCACTTAAAGAATATGTTATCACATTATTGTGTTTACTACAGATTATATAGTATAAAAAGTAGATAAACTTAAACATACATTATGCAAGAGTTAAATCTGTCTATTGCAGGTCTTTCTTTAGGCCTGAAATGTTATCTAAATTATTAATTAGACATTAATTAACTTATCCAGACCATAATCAACTCTAGATGGCATCGCTAGCCTGCGATTGTTAGTGGATTGTGAGCCGATTTACTGCATAACTTTCCTTCACGATTTAACGATTAAATCGATAATCAAAACTATGCTGTTTATCGTACTGACTTTAGTAATGATGCTCGAGGCTAGGCGGAAATTTCAATAGCTTTGTTGTCGGTTCATAGTGGATCAATTTGAATGAAATTTTCAGCAAATTGCCTTTACATTATCTAGTTTTTAACTATTATAGTGAGAACTGCCAACTCGTTACCGAATCTCCCATATTGTATCTTTAAATTTTGTATACTAGTCTATTGGGGGTATTGCATTCCCTGTGCCATGCATGATATAGATTTTCTCAGATGACAAGTCTTGTGAACAGCTTGTTAAATGAAAATATTAAAAATAAAATATTTTATTTGTAGATTATTGGGTATGATGGATGTGGTAATAAAAAATTTATCTCAGAGATTAGATTTCTATGTGCCATCGTTATATCGTATGATATTAGGTTTATATACTATGTTTAATACTATATTAAACCAATCAACTAATGTACGACATGCTGTATTAGATACAGTTAGAACATGTAGACATGTCACATTAGTTAGATTAACACAGGTAAGTACAATTCATTATTTATATATTTCAATGTTGTCTATTCGTTCTGCTTTTTTAGAGTGAAAAGGTAACATGATCTCTGCATTTTCCTCAATCCATTTACAGGAAAGACTTGTCAAAGTAAATATTCAGACACAATTTCCATGTTGAATGCTGATAGACAAGTGATATGTGTTTAATATTTCATCCGATCACTTTTATGACAACCAGTTCGTAGACAAATTTAGGAATGTTGAGAAATATTATACTATATTTATAAAGTTGTATATATTTTCTAGGTTTTTGAAGAATTTGATAAGTATGATTACACAGCCAGTGATATAGATGCTTTATTTGAAACTATTGTTTGGCCTAAGGTAAGAAATTCGTTGATAAAAGACAATATTACAACACACAATTATAAACAATGGTAATATATGTGATATAAAGTATTGAAATGATATAACAAATAAAGAAATAAAAGGTTTACCTATACAGATGATTGACATTAACCAGATTTAATCTCGAACTCTGAATGCATAATATATGAACGGTGAAATCGTTACATGATGATAGTATTTAAACAATTTTCTTAACATTAACAATTTGAATAGAATAGTATATTTATTTAATTTATTTCAGTTGGTTAATTTGAATAATGACACCACATCCTATGTAACACCATTGCTATCACTCTTCAACATATGGTCGAAAAACCCAAGGTAATTCATGATTTAATATGTTTAGAAAGAGAGTGTATCGTTTTAGATTTACTGATGTGTCATATTTTTTTCCTACCCTTTTGGCACCCACCTTCCGAAGATAGCAAGGGACTATTAAAATGGGTTCGTCCGTTTCTATCTCTGGTTGTCCGTCCGTCACACTTTTTGGGACACCATAACTTTGGTTCTAACTGAGATGTTCAAACTTGGTGTAGATGTTTATTAGGTGAATGTCTTGACAAGTGGGATTATAAGCATTTCTGTTAAGGCTAAGCATAGATATGTAATTTGATTTGTCAATGCTTTGGGAAATGATAACTTTGATTCTAATTGAGTGAGAGTGATAAATCCTGCTGTATAGTTTCATAATAGTTCGAGCATTTTTTGCTCAGGTTAAGCAGATTCATAACAATTTGATTGGTCTGGACGTTAAAAAAGTAAATGTGGAACTACTAATTAACCCGTTTTACGTATTTCTTTAAGGAAAAGCGGTAGGCAACACCATCCTCACTGTTATCTTGCCTTTTTCATGAGGTGGTCCACACGTAAATATAAAGAAATATTAGTTTAAGGAGGATATGTTTTATATTTTTTAGATACTTTTATTTGCTGAGAAAAGAACATCCTGATAATAAAGGAATGACACCATTATCTCAGATATTTCATCTGTTAAATAAAGAAAATATAGATATAAAAATATCTCAGCTTATAATGAATATGGTCTATCAGTTTCTATATTATGGTGAAAACAACACCTCTACAGAATTAGATGCAGATGAGGAAGAAATGGACACAGATTCTGGATCAGAAGAAGAAGAGTCCCTCGGCCAACATAGACCAGGTGTGTGTATACATTTGATGGCGTATATACAAATTTCTTACAAATAAAACCACTAAGGGACCGTGGCAAAATTTCAACACTTACGTCCAAATGAATAACTTGCGGAACTGGGTTGATGGATTGAACAGAAAATGATAAATTAAATGTTGGTTATTTAATATTGAATCATGAGCAGAAATATGTCAACATTTTCTTACACCGAGGTGCAGGTGGATGGGTGGGTTGAAGTCTAACCGTTTGGATGCAAGTGTTAGTTTAAACAATATTTTATTCATTTGAAAAGGATTGGACAACAGGCAAAGCTTATATAAGTGTTGGAATTTTGGTTTATTTTAAACAACATTTTATTTGTTTGTAAAGGATTGAACAACAGGCAAAGCCTGTTTGTTAGTAGAACTTATTTCATTGATATTACAAATGTAAATTGTAGTACAGTGTATATGATACATGCAATATTTGATTTTAAATTCTAGATGAAGAAGAAATGGAGATAGTTAAGAAAGAAGGAATAGAATTATTATTACCACATATAACAGATATCTTTCAATATCTACATAATATTGTTAAGAGAAATAGTAAAACAATTCGAAAGAAAGGTGATAGTGTTGAACTGAAGATATTACAGAGGTAATTAAACAGATTTTAATTTTATATACAAATTGATCAGTAAAACTTACTGTTCTTAGAGAATTGTTACTTTGTTATCATTCCCCAATCTGATTAAAACACTGATTCTATTTCATTTTGTTTTTTGTAATTCAAAATTTTGTTTATTTATCTTTACTACACTAGGATATGGAAGAGTTGTTATGTAGCCCGCGTTCTGGTTGATGTTTGGGATTAGCCAATGAAACAGTCTGTTGCAGCGAGCTCTTGGAGTGTTGTGCACAGAACTGTGGGTAAACCAATGCTGATTTGTTAATCAAATGTCTGACATCATAGGGTCAAAAGCCGCTTTTATGACCCATAACGTGACCTCCCTCTACAACCGGTCAGATCTTCATGTAGTGAAGGCCATCGAAAATATAAAAATACGAAACAAAATATAGATCTGTATTTTAATCAGATTGTATTTTTCCCCTCTATATTTAGAGATCAGTGTAAAGCATGACCAGATCATGACCATTGGTATTTGTTGTAAAAGTATTTTTTTTATGTATTGACTGGTTGATGTAATACTGTGTTTATTGTTTTTCATATTATCAGGATATGTGGTTATATCAGTGATAAAACACAATGTGCTAGTCTATGTAGTTTATTACTATCATTCTTCAGTAAGAAAAAAAAATCTACACAGGTAAATATATTTTATTATTTCCATGGAATAATATGATCTATAAGTTTTGAATATAAATTGCAACAGTAAAAGATAATTCTTGTGAAATACAGGATTAAGACCTGTAATTACTTCCCCTGATTTCATGAACCATGATGTAGTTAATCTATTTAAAGCAAATCCCTTTTCTCCCTTTATGCGTGACAATTTCTGTTGACGTTTTTGGCTAGAATCGAAGAATAGCATTTGGATGTACATTTTCTGCTAGGTTTTGGTATATTCATGAATTTTGGGTGGAAGGATCAGGAGCTAAACCAACATGAATTAGAGAAATCATATACGAAAATAACATAATGGCATAGGATGGTGTAAGAAAAAAATCGAGATTGTCAACCCACAACAATATTTTTATGGCATAGATTGTTGGGCCCTTTGTTGTTATAAATGGCATGGATTTAACATTCAGATCAGTGGGAAGAGAATTACTGCTCTTTATCCTGCAATTCACTACGTAAATGTACCTGTTGTTCAATGTTTATTATAGGAAGGAGAAGAGAATTTGTTAGAAAGTGTACAGAATTTATTAAATGTAGTTGATCAACCAACAGATTTCTATAGGTATGTACATTAGCTGACAACTGTAGTTCTAATGGTTTTTTGTATTATGATACTAATAAAGTTATGAAATGAAATGAGTATAATGTCGAACTTTTCTAATAAAGTTAACATACACTGACTGATTTCTTGAGACTTAATTTTACAAGCATTCATTCAGTTTAATACATTTATTTTCAGACAAGTGTCAGATCTGTTTTTTATTATTGGTAATAGAAGTTCCAGACAAATGTTATGTAATATTTTTAAGGTAAGTTTTCTCAAATAATCTATTAATCATTGAAAGAAATGTTTGCAGCAGAATATTTTATTTTATTAATTGTACTTGTAATTTAATTGAAGTTATATTATAGTAGAAACATGATGTAAATGTTTGTATTTTGTTTATTTATAGCTTGTATGTACAACACCAATAGCTGATATTGTTATAAAGGTAATGATAAAAGATTTTTTTAAAAAGTATTTCATAGAGTAAATCTATATGGACAAATTCAAAAAAATCTTTACACCTGTAATTTTTTTATTATTTTTTGAAAAAAAAGAATCCCTCACATTCTAAAGTAGTACATGTACATATAAACTAATGAAATAGTTATGAGTTGTGATAAACCAATATGTATAATTTACATGATTAACTTATTATTGTTTTAGTTGAACTCGTGGAATCCTAAAAGAACTGATGAACCAGATTATCGAGTGAGATTGGATGCTTTTAGTAGTTATAATACAATGGTGAAAGATGCTACCAGTTTAGACTGTGATTTTCTTCTACCTGTAATACAGAATTGTTGTTATTTTATAAACTCTGTAAGTCATTATAGCATGTCACTTACATGTGACTGTTTTTTTTTATATAAACTCTGAATAAATGTTACCTTAACATCTCCACCTTAAATTAAGGACTCTGGAAGTTGATATAATTTATACCTTTTACCATGTATATAATTGTGGTACTTTATAAACTCTGAATGTCACCTTAACATCGCCATGTTATTTTAAAAACAATGGAAGTTGTTATAATTTATACCTTTTACCATGTATATAATTGTGGTACTTAATAAACTCTGAATGTCACCTTAACATCGCCACGTTATTTTAAAAACTGTGGAAGTTGTTATAATTTATACCTTTTACCATGTATATAATTGTGGTACTTTATAAACTCTGAATGTCACCTTAACATCGCCACGTTATTTTAAAAACTGTGGAAGTTGTTATAATTTATACCTTTTACCATGTATATAATTGTGGTACTTTATAAACTCTGAATGTCACCTTAACATCGCCACGTTATTTTAAAAACTGTGGAAGTTGTTATAATTTATATCTTTTACCATATATATAATTGTGGTATTTTATAACTCTGAATGTCACCTTATACCATCACCACGTTATTTTAAAAACTCTGAAAGTTGTTATAACTTATATCTGTTACTGATACGTAATTGTGGTATTTTATAAACTCAATAAGTCACAGTGGCTCAGTGTCTAAGATGCAGGCTTACTGACTTATAGCTAAGTATTACATTGTAATTCAAAAACAAAATTTAATTTCATTAATGCAATTTGTTAATCAACTGCCTTTGTTTCTTCAGTTACCTGATTTAATGTCTTTGATTGAATATTAATTTATGTAATGTTTATTTTATTACAGGAAGATGATATGTCATTAAGAGATAGTAGTATTAATTGTTTAACTGTCATTATAAAACAGATGGCTTTAATAAATGTAGATAAAACTGTATATCAAACTGTTATAAATCAGATTATTATACCACGTGTTAAACATGGATTGATAGCAAAAACTGATGTAAGTATATCTTGTCATATAAACTATTAGTACCAACTACTTTCACTTTACATGAACATATTAAATACAGCAGATGTTGTCACTATCTGATTATGTTTCAGAAATTTTTATCTGTCTTGGTCCTGTTTTGTGAGTTAAAGGATAGTTCAGATTTTAATGAATAAAGAAATTAATAACAAAATTTATGTTAATAGATAGACAGTAACCCTTCATATAAAATAACTTATATAAAATTTATATAAAAATCAACATTGAAATATGTGTGTTAGTGATGACATGTTAATTGAATATATTTTGTATCGTATTATTTATAGATTATTCAACATGAATATATATCACTGTGGGGTGTATTAGTAGAACAGTTTCCACATGATCCAGTTTTCTCAGAACTACAGGATCTAAAAGATCCTTCAATGGATTTAGATTTCTTTGAAACTATTCGACATATTCAGGTTAGTTCAGTCTTCTGTATCTAGGCATTCTCGGCGTTAAAATGAAAGTAATTTGTCAATAAAATTTATTATCACAAATGATTAATTATTGCCCCTAGTACAGAAAAAAGTTCAATTTAAATTCACAGATATTAATGATACTAAAGTATATATGAAAATCCTAAATCAATATTCTATGAATTGATTTAATGTGTTATTATAGCTACAGAAGAAAGCGATAGCTGTACGAAGATTACAGAAATATCTAGAAACCCATACACCCAGTAGCGGAGTAATAAACCATTATTTTCTGCCTATCATAAGTAGATTTATAATAGATGAATCTTACGGTAAACAGAATGATCTAGTTGACTCAGCTGTAGAGACATTAGGTGTTATATGTAAACAACTACCATGGACAGCCTACTATCAACAACTTAAACAATATCTACAATTACTTATAAAATCTATATCACAGCAAAAATTATTTGTCAGGTGAGAAAAGTCATTAGTATATCTTTTCTACTCTGTTGATCGTCAAATATTCTTTCATAAAATAATTGTGCTGATATGATCAGTGAATTGTCTGTATTAATTATCAATAAGATCAGCTAAGTCTGTGACTATGATTGTTCAATCTATTGGGATTTTTTTCTTTTTTATCCTGAATTTGTTATTTGATATTTACAATAAACATTTATAAACAGAACTATGTAGCAAATTAAATGAACAGATTCTTATCAATTAATATCAGTATATATATAGACTGTATAGCATATGCTTTCTTTTATAAGTATAATGTTGACTGTTATTTCAGAGTTATATCCGTGATATTAAAATCGTTCCATTTCAACCTGTCTAAATCTTTATATAAACCACCAGTAAAGCCTTTTATGGGAAACCCAAGACCTAATAAGAAATTCAAAGGCAAGTGAATACATGTGAATGGTGAATTTTTGAATATGTATAGTGTTATTTTATGTGTATGAAATAGTTGTATTATAATTTGTCATGGAGAGATAAGTAAATTACAATCCACAACATTGTTCAACAGACATTATTTAAAAATTCATGAAATGGAACAAATTATGGAAATGTTTCCAAATATGCTGCAATAAAAAAATTAAGAAAATAACTTATTCAATTTACAGTACATTCTAGACAATTGGATCATTAATCACTTTAAGATTAGAACATGTTTTTGCAGCCATATCGAATAATGTCAATCTTTCTATGATACCCGTGCACTGATATTGAGTCAACTGGCATGGTTTCGATTCCCCGTTTGTACGTGACAAGGAATAGGGTCGCCCGTCCAACCTCATGGGTTTTCTCTGGGACCCCCAGTTTCTTCCCATGGCTAAAGACCCCTATGCGCAAACAAATTATTAAAATAAAATTGAACCATATGTTGGTCCTAGTTTGTGTCGAGTGGATGTTAAACCCTCTCTCTTTCTATCACACCATCTCAATCGATGAGTAACAATATATATATATAAATCTGAAATGTGTATAAATATTTATAGGTAAAGGTAAGAAAGATGAAGAAGACAAGAACCCAATGGTGGATGATTTAGATGATGAAGCAACAGAGGAGAAAGGATCTGAAGATTTGGTAGAACTAGGACCTAAGAATGCTAATAAGAAATCAGATATGGAAATGTGTACAGAAGAATTAGCTACAGAGATACATAGAAAAGTAGTTAAAGAAATGATACCTTGGTTACATAAAGTTTTAACTCAAAGAGTAAGTTTGATATCTATTATGTTTACCAAATATTATGTAAAAGAAAAGGGGATTAGGGAAGGGTAGAATAGCAAGGAGTTAGAAATTGACTAAGCCATTAAATAAATATTCATTAATTCATTATTTTTTTTTTTTTTAGGCTAAGAGTGAGACCCAGCATAAATCTCAGAGATCTAGTTTTGCCCGAGATGATGAGGTATTACGTGTACCATTAGCTTTGGCTATGGTAAAACTCTTACAGACATTACCTCACAAAATACTAGAGGTCAAATTACCAGGGTAGCTATACAATTTTATTCATGGATACATTTATTTAGACCCTTTAAAATGACTAAATAACCCATAAATGTACTTACAAAGACATTTCCATATTAAATGAGATATTCTCTATAACATTCTGATGAATGTTCAAATTGCCACTTTTAAAATCTCAAAGATATTTATGGTTTAAAATTACTATTGTTTTAAATGGATACATATTTTAGATATTTATTGTGATCATTTTCTGTATTTTAGTGTGTTATCAAGGGTATGTTTGTTCTTAAAGTCTCGAGCTAAAGAAATAAGAGAGAATGCTAGAGCTACATTATGTAAAATCTGTGTAGCTCTAGGACCACGATATTTCTCATTTGTGTTAAAACAAATGAAGTCTGTGTTAGTTAAAGGATATCAGGTAAGTAAACGATAATATGTATCAATATATTTGAATTGATTTTACTTGAAGTCTCTGATTTTCATTTAAGGGATTGTTAATGCCTTTGCAATCTTCAATATTGTGAAAGTTGAATCTCTAAAAGGAATTTGTCTAAAAATGGTTGAAGTCTGTTCAGTATTTACAATATTATGATGAATTGAAAATTGTCAATATTCGACATCCACTTCAGTCAATAGGATATAGTCGATTAAAGCCAACACTAGCTTTGAGTTCCGTTTTAAATCATTTGATGGGCCTATTTTCCTGACTAAATGTTAAAAGATTAATTTGAGTACATTTTTGCATGGAAAATTTGATATTTTCTGAAAAATGCAAGTGGTGCATAGAGACTTTAACTAAGTACTGGTACAAGAATATGAAGAATTGTCTTTCTTGTTAAATGTAAATTTTAGAATGACATAAAAATGTAAATGTTACTTTGTTTTTTCCAGCGCCATGTTTTATGTTATTCTGTACATAAACTGTTAGTACATATATCACCTAAATTGAAAGCAGGAGACCTTCAACCAGCTCTAGAGATTATACAAGAGGTATAGATTTTTATACTTTATAAAATAATTTGTATGAAATTGAAGACTTACATATATACATAAAGGAGAAATGTGTATTCAAGTTTATGCTAATAAACCATAAAGAGAATATCATCTGTTGAAAAAAATGTCAGCCACTAGTAGGTCCCTGAAGCTTGGGTAATATGAACTAAAATCACTTCTGTGGGCACCTCTGGGATTAGAGGCCTTGAAAATTAAGTTTCATAGTACATCCACCCCAACCCCAACACCTGTTGGAAAATTTAAAAAGAAAGGATGACATAAAAATATCTGAACACTGTGCACAAAACACATTCACACTTATATAGCTCCATTGAATTACTGGGGGTCCAGTAAAAGATCTGACGAGAGTTCTACAACTTGGTAATGATTTTATTTCAGATATTTATAGAAGAAATGTTTGGTAAGGTAGCAGAAGAGAAGGAAGTAGAAGCTATTACAAATCAAGTGTTTGAAGCTAAATATAAAAAAGGTCCAGAATCATTCTTCATTATATCTCAATTCTTACGTCCTAAATCTTTAAACCAGTTGATTGCACCACTAAAAGAGGTTAGTATTTATTATGTTTGATTTCAAACCCCTGAAAAGTTGACAGTCATCATAGTGTTCCTGTCTGTTATTGGTTGCAATTACATTCCATGTATGTAGTTGGATAGAATATTTACATGAAATATACAAAGAAAATGTCTAATTCAGCACAAGGAAGCAGTATATTGTTTTGGGTTTATTTGTTTATTGCTTTGACAATATAATCTCGGCATATCATAAACCATTATACATATCATAAACCATTATATTTTAATTTGTTATCTGCTAATGTCTCCGCTATTATTTATTTGTTTTAGAAATTAGAAACTACATCATCACATAAGATAGCACAGAAAGTAAGAGATGTATTAGAGAAAGTCTCTATGGGTTTATTAATTAATACATCTTTAAATGTACAAACATTGATGATATTCGTACATGGTTTAACAGCTGATAATCTAGCAGCTTTAGAAGATACTAAATTGTAAGTTTAGTTTGTTAATTACTGATTTGTTATTATTTTACTGAGGGGTTGGATGGTTAGTGAGAAGGAGTAGGGTTGCTTTTCTCCAGGATACCGGTATCCACCCACTGCTAAAGACTCACTGCTAAATTATTGAAATAAAATTTAACCATGTTAGTTCTGAAATGACCTAGTTTGTGTCAAGTAGATGTTAAACCCCATTTCTCTCTCTATTATTTTACTGCGTTAAGCTTTGGGTTTTTTTTGTGTAAAAATGCTATGGCAATGATTTACTGGAAAGTGCTCGGTCTTCTTAAAAATATATATATTCACAAGTATATATTTAGCCCTTTATGTTGATCTTTTAAAGCAAGGTCTATAATAATAGCTCTTGTTACCTTGTTCAGTGCTTCTATATGTAGTCCTGTCTTAAAAATCAGCTTTATGCAGGACTAGTTGACATACATGGATTGTTCTTAAATATTGTATCAGAGTTAATTTTGTATCCTGAAGACTGTTAACCTGCTTAAGATAATAAGATATATGGTAAATATGGTATTGTGTTCTTATAGAGAAAATAAGATAGAAGAGAATAAGCATGAAGGAGAGAGACCACCAAGTTGTTTATTGTTACCAGATAATGTGCCACATGGTATTACTAAATCTAAACTACATAAACATACAAATATACATATTATTGTCGAGTTTGGTTTACATGTAAGTTGAACAAATCCCTTCATAGAATATTTTCTGATAAATCTTAGTATCTAATAAATCAAATTTTGTGATATATTTTTATTGTTGATAATGATTTTCTTTTCTACATTCTCTGAAACTATCTGTTTATCCCTGGATCCTCATACAGTTTCTTTCATTTTGCTATTAGCTTTTTCTTAGCTTAACTCGACCTCTGGACAAGGGCAAATAGTCATAAATTGATTGAATATTAGATGCTCAACTAAGCAAATTTTATGATTAACTCAGAAGTAGAAATGAACAAAGTCCTGAGAAACTTGGAGTGGAATTACTATGATGCCGTGTGTTTCTTTATATTGATCCCCATGCTTGACACGTTTTTTTTTTTGTTTTAATATAGTTGTTAGTGAACTGTTTAAAGAAATTAGATCAGAATAAAGAAGAAAATCTACAGCTATTAGATCCTCTTGTATCAACAATATCTGATTGTTTGTTTTCTAAACATATACTGGTAAGATTTATTACTATTCTTTTATACATAATTAACATTTATACCATCTAATAATTAATCTTTATCTAAATTTATTCAATAAGCATATACAAGTACGATATCTTTCCTTCATACACAGTTACCATTATACTATTCAATAAACAGACATTAAAAGCTTTCATTTACAATTTGGAATACTGTAACTTTAAATTTGGTTACTATTTAATATATACTTCTACGAAGAAAAAAATGGTTGAAAAGGGGAATGTCGACTGACTACAAATTTAAGGACTTATATTTTTCTTTTCATTTCAGGTAAACACATACAGTTTAAGATGTGTTACTTACATATTAAGGTTTCCTTTACCTAGTTTAAAGAAATTTATGCGTAAAATAGCCAATGGTATGTTTATTCTATTGAAAAATTACGCATCTGCTGGTGCAGCAAGGGGACAGAACTCTGAACTAGTCAACATGTGTTTTAAGGTATGATAGTTTTATAACGTTGTCCCTTCATTTCATATGGTTAGGAATACAGAATCTTTATAGTTTGTAGTTTTAGTGTTACTTACTCAACAGGGAAATGTATTTCCTAGTATTGACTGAAAAAATAGTGTGCAATTGATCTATTTAACTATAACAAAAAATATACATTATTTGGATTATACATTAGTGATATACGTAACAACATTATTGCGAGATGTGGCATTAATATAGTATTATTATATATTGTAGGCTGTAACAGTATTAGTGAGAGATGTGTCATTCTATAATATAGATAAAGATCAACTACAAGTATTGTTATCATTCTGTGAAGAAGATTTATTAGATTATAACAGACAAAGTACAGCTTTCTCTTTACTCAAGGTATAGTAATATACAAAATGCAAATAAGCATTCCATATGATCCAATTAAATTTTAATTCCAAAAAATGATGTTTTTTGGCCAAATAAAAAAATATTATGGTTCTCAGATAATACCTCATCACTTAAAAAGGGCTACGTGACCCAATTTTATTTTAAAAAATAGAATTTAAAAATGGTGTCATTCATTATCACATGTAAATGTTTGACCTTTTTAATTGATCCAGAAATGTGGCGTAGTCTCAGTTATCAAGTATACAACCCTGATAAATGTTGCTGACAATCATAAATGATACTAGATAATCATACATTCTTATAAACAACGTGAGATGAATGAAGTGTTTATAAATGTGATGTTTATAAGAAGTTGTTTAGCCCAGTACAGCAGTAGTGATTCTTTAGACAAAATAAAAAAAACCCCAAAAAACCATCCTCCCGCATAAAATTTGTAGTAAGGATTATTTGAGAACCAGAATATTTTTTGTACTGCCTTAGATATATGTATAATTTGGTATTATAGTACTAGATATAATGAAGAGTTATGTAAGGTATGTATAATTGGGTTAGTGTACATTATTAACCTTTAAAATACAGATGTGACGTCATCCTTTGATGTTGGGGTACCATTATTTCAAATAATCGTACGGGCAATGGGCCAAGCGTAACTTGGTAAAATATTGAACTCGAGTGACGTATATCATTGCAAAGCACGTGCAAGTGTCTGTATTTTAAGTTGTTTAATGGTCTCGAGCTTAAGACATTGTGTAATATATTGTAAAAACATTCGGGCCTCACAGCCCTCATGTTGTTACAATATATTACTTAATGTCTCGCTCTCGACCATTAAACAATATGTATATTTATAATTAGTTGGGTTTATTTTTTCAGGCTATATTATCACGTAAGATAGATGTGGTTGAATTACATGATTTAATGAAGAAATTAGAGGATATTAGTATAACCAGTGAAATACCTAGTACTAGATTACAGAGTAGACAGGTAACATTATAAATAATATACAGGGATCTGTTTACATATTTATCACAAATAGATTAATTTTCACCATGTGTAAGTACCATAAATTGTGTTAATAATGTAATTTCCACAAATAAAATTGATTAAATTCATAACGTTTTTCTTTTCATGATTTCAGTTAGTTCTGCAGTATCTGTTAGACTACCCTCTAGGTAGAAACATCAATAATCATATCCAGTATTTTGTGGCACAGCTACAGTTTGACCGTGAATCTGGTAGAGAATCTGCTCTAGAAATGATAGCTACAATGATAGCTAAATTTCCACCGGTAAATTATTTTGCTCTTAATATTTTTAATTAAATGCAAAAAAAGGGAGCTGAAAAGACCATTAGGAGAGAAATAATATTCAAATTGTAATCAGAGCTGTTTCGCTCACCATTTATACTCCAATCCTTATAGGCCGTTCAAACACTTATATTTAAACTAGTTCAAAATCGCCTGGCATTTTAAGACAGGATATTGTATTGCTATTTTCACCTTGTGGGTTAAAGATTAGAGTTAATTAAGCATATGTCGTCATTTTGCCAGGAAGATAACTTACTGCTGTGCCCAAGGCAACCTGTAGTCAGCAATTTTAAGTTGATCATGTTCAGAAGAACAAGATAAGACAGCTTTTAAGAAAGCCGTTTGTAAATTAATTATTTAGCTTTTTATATAGCAAAAATCACTAGATTTAATTTAAATTTATATATATAGTTAAATCTCGACTTTTGTGCAAATTTTTCACTTTTAATATTTAAACTAAAAATACAACAAAAACTCAATATTTAACATAATATATATAAATATTTCTTGATTTGTCTCTATTTTCATATTTAACATTTAGCATTGAATATTAAGACCAATTGATGATATATAAATATTTAGCTAAATATTTAGTTAAATGTTTAAACATTTAGCTAAATATATATTTAGTTAAATGTTAAAATATTTAGTTAAACATTTATATATTTAGTTAAACATTTATATATTTAGCTAAATAATATATATTTAGCTAAATAATATATATTTAGCTAAATAATATATATTTAGCTAAATAATATATATTTAGCTAAATAATATATATTTAGCTAAATAATATATATTTAGCTAAATAATATATATTTAGCTAAATAATATATATTTAGCTAAATGTTTATATATTTAGTTAAATGTTTATATATTTAGCTAAATGTTTATATATTTAGCTAAATGTTTATATATTTAGCTAATTGTTTATATATTCAGCTAAATGTTTATATATTTAGCTAAATATTTAACTTTAGATTTTTCAGTGATTTAGTATTTAGCATTTATACCTACGAAAAACAGCACATTTAGCTATATATTTAACTAAGCGATGTGAAATCAAGATATAACATTTAAAGTTTTTCATAGACCAAAAACTCGACTTTTAGCTACAATATATTTTGATATTTACATATATGCCATTTTTGTTCTAATATTTATCTAAATATATATATTCGGAGATAAATCTAATGTTTTTTGCTATAAATAAATTTAAATAATTATTTTACAAACGGCGCCCCGTATTCTCGAAGACAGTTACAAAGCTGGAGTTTTTAAACTGGTTTATTTGCCCCGCCTTTCCATTTTAAGCCAGTTTAACTTGCCATTAGATTGAATGTTGTATGGAATGAATAATGATTATTGTCTTGGCTTTCATTTTACTTATTCTGGTTGATTCTTTGGGACTAACAAGGTAATTCTTGTATAAAAGCATTTTAGGACCACAACAGGCTTTAGTTTATCCATGACAGCTGGAGCCAAACAAAATAGTTATAATGTCATTATAATTTCAGAAACTGCTATGCTTTCATGCTGGAATGTTTTTTGTCCCAATGGCAGCTACTATGGTAAATGATGATTCTGAAAAATGCAGGAAGTTAACTGCTATTTGTCTAAAGGCTTTATTGGAAAAGGTATGATATTAGTTTATCAAATTTTGCAAGCATACCGGCAATATATTACCATTTTTATCACTTTTGTATTTGATATTTTCAGGTGCAATTTTACAAGCGTTGATCTATCTAAATAATTTGAATTATGTATCAAAGACCAGTATGTAAATCCATCTCAAATTATTTTTGAAAGGAATGGTTTATAATTAGTTAGGATAATTGTGCTTACTTTGTGCATAATCAATAATATATAAGATGTTCTTGTATTAATTTTTATTTGACATTTGTAGAAACAAGAAAAGTACATATATGATTTTGATTTATTGTAAACAATCAAGGTGAAAAGGTAATTTACTTCAGTGAATATCTACAACTGTACCAAACTAAGAAGATGTGTATTTTATGTTTATAGGTAGAACTAAAGAAGAAGAATGAGCTGTTTTCTATAACTATGACCTGGTTAAAAGATAATAAGGTAAATCTGTTTTTTAACTTACAGATTCAAGACACTTCTCTTTTACCTAGAAAATAAACATACTTACAGTTGGGTGTTTTGGATAAACATTCCTGGAAAACCATTTTATAGTCAATCAAAACACATCAATTTGAAAATTCTTTTTTTTACTATCCTGCGAAGTCCTAGAGAGAGATCAACACAAACTAGGTCATTTTAGGATTAAACCTGAAGAGCAGAACTAATACTGTTATAAGTGAAGACCTGGGACTTTACAGCGCCACGAAAGCTTAAATTGTAATATAGAGTTGTGTCCCTTCATTCATACATTCTCTTTTATTGTGTGCCCATTGTCCTGTGGAGTGATGTGGGTTTGTTGTATTATTCTTCTACCTGTTATACATTTTCTAGGTTCAACATAGGTCTTTGGCTGCTCAACTGTTGGGCTTATTTGTAGAAATAGAAGGTGAGGGATTTGATAGCAGATTAACAGAAGTTCTACCTTTAATAAAACAACAAATAGATCCTACTAGATATGAAGAGGTTAGATTTATATTGTGTATAAGCATATGAAATGAAATGATATGGGGTTTAACTTCAATTATTCTGCGGCCACTGGACTAATGAAGACAGGCATACACCATGCAGTGTGCTATGAGGGGAATTTTGTCTGGACAGCGGCGCTACGGCCTACCCTTACATCGAATTACAATTGTCAAGGGTTCTTTTACGTGCATACCAATGTGTACACAGGCCCTCCGTCTTACACAAATGACAAGGGGGAACCACAATGGAAAATCCTCATGAACTTTCTCGGCCAACACCTGGATCGAACACAGGACCTCCATGTTAGCAAAGCGTCTTACTCACTGAGCCACCATGGCTCCTATAATCCTATGGATTTTAAGATATTTCATATATGACCAGATTTGTATGAACTGCCGTATATACAATCATTCTGATAAGAATCCATATATTTATCTGTTTTTCGATACAGTTATCTTAATCCTGTCTATTTGTCCTGTATATATTTGAAAATGTTAAACTGTCACTATGAATGTATTTAAACAATTTGTATTATAAGAAATACCTTTTTTAATGTTTAGGTTGGTGAAAGTGTAAATAAAGATGTGGACAGTTCACTATATAGACTATTAAATACATTAGCTAAAATTATTAAAGTCTGTCCTATATTACGAGATAAAACCTGGCAGGATGATATGAATACAATTTGGGGTGAGTTTAGAATTGATTTCTTTAGATAAAAGCAAAAGCTTATGCTTTTGTTGCTGAAAATGTTAGAGCAGATCATACTCAAGAACTGATGTAGTTATGAATTCTTATTTTGTACGCTATGATGCTGAAATCATGTGGATTACAATGATAAGACCTCTTTGATTTGGCTTGTGAAGTGGTTATCTGTCCACATTTAAAGATGCATTATGAAAGATTTAAATACAGAGCTGGCCGTTCTTGCTATAATAGTTCAAAAATAGATAATGCAAAATGAATATATTGAAAATTTCATTCAAATTACTTTATTCTGAGCCAAGTTATAACTGATTGGAGTTTTAACAATAATTGATTGTTTATTATTGTAACAATGGTACTTATTATTCGAAACTTAGCCTCGCTTCTCCATTTTTAGATTAAACCATTAAATGGCCAAAAGATTATAATCTATTTAAAATTGGAAGCCAACTGATGACCTAGAGAGTTGATTATGGTCTTGTCATGTTTATAAATGTTTTAATAATAGTTTATATATAACAATTGAAACCAAAATAAAGACCCACAATAGGCAAATATAGCTCTTCCATAATGCATCTTTAAATATTAGGTCCACAGATAGAACCAATTGGTAAACTATCTGACTTTCGCTTAGTATTTCCAAATGAAAATTAATTGTTTAGATATTGTCCCATCCTTAATGGAAATAAACATCAAATTTGTTTTAAATCTTGTTTCAGAACATGTAGAGAATCATTTAGAACATCCTCATAATTGGGTTCGTTTGATAGCAGCCCAACTATATGGGTTATTATTTGGTGCATGGACTCCTCAAGAAATATCTGATTTTGTAGATAAACCTGATGGCAAGGAAACCGATCATTATTTTTCCTTTGATACAGAAAATAAGGTGAGGAATACATGAAATAAATTGGTTAAATGCCAAAGTTGAAAGTCACTAAATATTATAGTTCGTTTATGGCTTACAATGTCTGTGTGTATGTCTTCTAGGTGTCTAGTTAATTGTTATGTATGGTGGGGTCCTGTTAAAATTGATAAATGCCAGCATTAAAATCTTTATAATAGTTTCTGGCCTGGAAAAAAGGATTTTACATCTACCTGTCAAGGTGTTGGGTGCAGTTTAAGTTTTACCAACATTATGATAGAATGACTATGAAAGCTTGCCTTTGTGTCTGACAATGTCAGTTAGAGTTGCCATTATTTTAAGCGAATTTGTTTTTACAGTAAATCTGTATATTCTCAGATGAGCTCCTTAACAATATTAGGCCACACAAAATAAATGTCTTGTTTCTCGGGCAACTGACAGCTGAAACTGTAGGGAGGGAGGGCGGTTTCTTTTTTTTTTTTAACTCATTGATGGTGCAAAATAAAATTTGGCTATTGCTGAAAATTGTTGGGGCGGGAGGGCGGTCTTTCTTTTTTTTTTTTTTTAAATGAGAAAGTCATTACTTGTTTATGTTTTTGCTTTCCGTTATATTCAACTTTATTGTACATACTTAAAACATAAACCCAAAATCAAGTCTACTAAAACACTGAGACTGAACACTGACTGAAAGGAAAATAATTTTCCATATTTAATTCACATAATTGAAATTGGTTTAAAATAAAATTCCATACGACTATGTAATAGCCCTCCATAAAGACAACAATATTTTTAAAAACTAAGCCTCTTTCACCAGGTGTATCAAAAATAATAATCATGGTAAACAGTATTTAAAACTAAATCTAGTATCGCCGGTTTATTTATAATTATTTACCGAATTCCAACCAATGCATGTCACACCGTGTCATCGGTATTGGAGATTGCCGGAAATACTGTTTCTTGGGATATTCGGTGTGTTTCTCAGGATATTCGGTGTTCTATCCGGTGTTTATATTGAATGACTATTTAAATCTAACTAACAACTGGTCAGTAAAACCATCAAATCGGTAATCCAATTATTATTTTCCGGATTATCGAAACTACCGTAAATGTGCTAATAATGACCCAGATTCTAAGGTATGCATTATGACGACTATCGTCATCGTATCGTATTCTTAGCTATAATTAATTAACCTGTTCTACGGTTCATTATTTTATCAATAGGATTTTCCAAACAAGGACCGACTGAAGCCGGCAATAATGAGCCGATTACGATCGAATGATTGAAATATTGTCGCCAATGACTTTTAACACGAATCAAATTCTAGTTTATCAGGGGAGGTAATTAATATCACGTGATACAAAATGGAGGTTCTTTCGATATCAATAAAAAAGGCAAATCTGCCAAACTTCGCCATTGTTCGGATAAAAAAGACAGCATGTTCATCTGAATCAGTTTTAATACATTTGAATAGATATACATGTATGGCGGATGTAGGTACATGCGGGATATTTTTTTTACGACTTGCTTGTCGATGTGCGGGCGGGCGTTACATACCGGTATTTATTTTTTTTCATCAAGACTAATAAATAGACTGCACGCGCAACCAATTTTGCGTGCGGGCGGTGTCCGAGAAACAAGTTATTTTATTTGTGTTGCCTTAGGTTAGATCTAACACTCTAACAGATTGAGTTTGATGATGATTAGGCCACACAAAATAAATGTCTTGTTTCTCGGGCAACTGACAGCTGAAACTGTAGGGGGGGAGGGCGGTTTCTTTTTTTTTTACCCCATTGCTGGCTAGAGGATGGTGCAAAATAAAATTTGGCTATTGTTGAAAATTGTTGGGGCGGGAGGGCGGCCTTGTATTTTTTATTTTTTTTTTAATGAGAAAGTCATTACTTGTCTACGGTTTTGCTTTCAGTTATATATTGTACATACTTAGAAAATAAACCCAAAAATCAAGTCTACTCAAACACTGAACACTGACTGAAAGGAAAATAATTTTCCATATTTAATTCACGTAATGTAGCTTACTAATGGTAATGGTGACAAACATAATTGAAATTGGTTTAAAATAAAATTCCGTACGACTATTAATAGCCGTCCATTATAACGACAATATTTTAAAGAGTAACCCTCTGTCAGCATGTGTATCAAAAATAATCATCACGGTAAACGACACTTAGAACTAAATCTAGTATCGCTGGTTTATAATTATCGACCTAATTCCAACCAATGCATGTCACGTGTCATCGGGATTCGGGAAATGACTGTTTCTTAGGATATTCGGTGTGTTTCTCATGATGTTCGGTGTTCTATCTGGGGTTTATATAGAATGACTATTTAAATTTAACTAACAACTGGTCAGTAAAACCATCAAATGTGTAATCCAATTATTATTTTCCGGATTATCAAAACTACCATTAAATGTGCTAATGACCCAAATTCTGACTGAGGTATGGTGACTATCATCGTGTCGTATTCGTAGCCACAAGTAATAATTAACCTGTTCTACGATTCATTGTTTTATCAGTAGGATTTTTCAAACATGGACCGACTGAAGCCAGCAATAATGAGCCGATTAATATCGAATGATTGAAATACATTGCATTGTTGTCGATGACTTTCGGTGTTGAACACGAATCAAATTCTAGTTCACCAGGGGAGGTAATTAAAATCATGTGATACAAAAATGGAGGTTCTTTCGATATCAATAAAAAAGACCAGTAAATGAGCATTTACATCTGGATCAGTTTAATACATTTGAATGGATATACACGTATGACGCATGTAGGTACATGCGGCATATTCTTTTTATGACTTGCTTATCGATGTTCGGGCGGGCGTTACATATTTTTTATTTTTCATCAAGACTAATAAATAGGCCGCACGCGCAACCAATTTTGCGTGCGGGCGGTGCCCGAGAAACAACTTATTTTATTTGTGTTGCGTCTGCTTAGGGTTAGCAGCTGTCTGGTCATCACACCTTTTGGACATAGTAACTCTGCTTTTAATGGACATAAACTGTTTAAACCTCTTGTAGATGTTTATTAAGTGAATGTCTTATTTGGTTGGTGATGAGAATTTTTTGTTTAGGCAAGCAGAGATAAGCAATTATATTTGTAGATGTTTTGGAACACAATAACGTTGATTCTAATTGGGTAATTACATTTCTAGTTTCTACTGATAAGTAATTGATTACTTATCTTTTTATAGGATCACCGGGAGAGTGGAGTTTAAATGTTTTAAGATGAAGTAATATTGATAAAATGTTTTGGTTGTTTTTCAGTTAATTAATCTAGTGTGTTTGTTCTGTAATCAAATGAGATCAGAATATTTAGATGATGATCTTATCACACAGGTATAGTTACTCTTATAATTAAACTATAACTTATTATATATTTATTAAAACTTCCTTCAGATCATAATTACAAATTATTTCGCTTCTAAAATTACATTTTCTACACCTCTACTTGTATAAGAAACTATATAAATTAAGATTTCCCATTTTTCATGGGTGGTGCCTGCAGACAAGGAAAAACTGTGTATAGTTGTTTGTCTAAGGCAGACAAGAGAGAGAGAGAAATGGTGTTTAACGTCCATTGACACAAACTAGGTCATTTTGGGACTAACATATGGTTTAATTTTATTTCAATAATTCGCTTGCGCATAGGGGTCTTTAGCAGTGGGAGGAAACCGGAGGACCCGGAGAAAACCCACGAGGTTGGACAGGCGACCCAACTCCTTGTCACGTACAACCGGGGATTCGAAACCATGCCAGTTGACTCAATGACAGGCCTTATGATACAGCACGCACGTGCTAACCATTCGACCATCCAACCCCCCTTAAAGCAGACAAACAAACAGGGTCATCTTGTGTATATATTGAAGTACATGTAAAAGAATTCTTGGCAGTTTGAATTTGAAGAAGAGTTTGGAGAAACACCGCTCTCCTACTTTGTACTACTCGCGTAACCATAGATAATATCACCATACTTCATAGTATCAAAACGAGTGTATGAAACCCTATTCTTATCACTTTTCCGGCGTGGTTCCCCTTGTCAGTGGTGCAGGAGTGAGGGCCTAACAAAGACAGCTGTCTAGTCATTCGGATGGGACAAAAAACCGAAGTCCCGTGTATACATTGACATGCATGTAAAGATCCCTGGACAGTTGGAATTTGATATAAGAGTAAGCCATTGTGTTGCTGCCCAGGCAAAATTTCTCTCATAGCACACTGGGTCAATTCAAGTCCTGGGTTAAGGTGGTGTAGTGTCTAACACCAGTTAGATCAGTGTACCACTGGTGTAACGCCGTGCTAACTCAACCTCAGACCCCCTCTATATTTGAAATCAATCTGAGTTAAGGTCTGTGGTGTTGAGGTTGTGTTAAACATGGATATATTTACACAACATAAACATCAGTGTCATATCTGTGTTACCCCAACACTAACTGATACCTGGCCCCCTCAGTTTGTCTATATTTTCAGTATCAGTATCTCGATTTAAGAAACAAATTTACATGGAAAAAATATAAAGACAAGGAGCTTTATGCAATATTATTTCTAATTACATAAAAAAATGTTAAATTATAATAACTTGATAAAAGTTATTATCTTTTTAAAAATAACTCTAACACTAACCTCTAGGGGTTAAAAAAAATCTCAGTTCAAGTCATTTATTACAACACTGGTGTGAAACAACATACGGCAAGAAGGGAATTTCTTTTAAGACTTTTAGATTTAGTTTTAAGGCTTAAAATGATTTTTTTACCCATATATAGCCAAATCGTAAGACAAAGAAATGTTGATTGCAAGCCTGCTGATTTACGAGAAATTTCAGATAGGAAATTTCAACTGAATAATGATCAAATGAGACTACAAAAATTCTACATAGATCCTAGTTACTTAATTTCATAAAAGCGGTTAGTTTTCCTCAATTGCCTTTCTTTTGCTGTTTTTTTATAATCCCACATTTTCATGTGGATGTATTATGCCATCGCCCCTGGACGTCCGTCCGTCCACAATTTGTGGGGGGGTTGGATGGCTGAATGGTTAGCATGTGCACGCTGTATCATAAAGTCTGTCATTGAGTCAACTGGTGTGGTTTCGAATCCCTGGTTGTAGGTGACAAGGAGTAGGGTCACCTGTCCAACCTCGTGGGTTTTCTCCAGGTCCTCCGGTTTCCTCCCACTGCTAAAGACCCCTACGCACAAGCGAATTATTGAAATAAAATTAAACCATATGTTAGTCCCGAAATGACCTAGTTTGTGTCGTGTGGACGTTAAACCCCATTTCTCTCTCTTTCTCCCACAATTTGTTTGTGGAAACTCAACAGGTCACAATTTTTATCCGATTTTGACGATATAGGTCTGTCTCCCTAGGCTCTCGGTTCCTGTCGATATTGGCATATATCGGACCATAACTTCCTGGATTATGGCTCCTGATTGTAAGAAAAATCACGTTTTTAGCTCATGGACTCTCTAGGTCACAATTTTTGCCCAATATTTTAAAAAATGTATAAATTGATCACCGTTACATCCTCATGAGGGTTTAGTTCCAATTTAGTGAAAATCGGACCAAAACTGTCGGATAAAATGTCCGCTCCTCGTATGCAAATAATGTAAAAAATATGGCATATCAAGGTTGTGGACTTTCTAGAGGCCACAATGTTTATCCGATTATGATGAAACCTTAAATTTATGTTTATATCACAAGGATCTTTGTTCCTGTTGATAATCGCACATATCTGAATATAACTTCCTAGATTATGGCCACTGATTGTGGACCCCCAAGAAGTCACAATTTGTATTCAATAAATAAATATTAATGAAGGTTGAGTTCGAATTTCATAATAAATCTGACTGAAACTGCCAGACAAATGGCCGCTCCTTGTACACAAGGTTGTGGAATTTGATGACATTTGAAAGGTGAGTTTATAATCTAAAGATTGTGGTTCCTTTTGATATTTTCGCATATCAGACCGTAACTTCCTGGATTATGGCCCCTGTTTGTACGAAAACCACTTTTTTAGCTTGTGGACTCTCTAGGTCATAATTTTTATCCAATTTTAAAAAAAAAACATATAAATTGATCACCGTTGCACCCTCATGACTGTTGAGTTCCAACTTCGTGAAAATCGGATCAGAACTGCCAGACAAAATAGCCGCTCTTTGTATGCAAATTGTGTAAAAGTATGTAATACGAAGGTTGTGGACACTCTAGAGGTCCCAATTTGTATCTGATTTTGATGAAACTTAAAATATGTGTTTATGTTCTCAGTCTCTGTTGATATTTGCTGATTTCAGACCATAACGAAAAGTGACTTTTGTTTTTAGCTTGTTCTCTATCCATCTCGTGCAAAAGGTGGGCGGGCGTATCTTGCCTGGCAACTGCTGATTTTTTTTAGTTGGCCAGCTCATGCAAATAACAGAAGACAAAAACACAGTGCAACATTTAAAGATAACACTAGTGTTTTAGGTGTTTTTTTTTTATTTTCCACCAGTGTTAACACTGGTATTAACCTAGTTTAGACACTGGTGTTAACCTAGTTTAGACACTGGTGTAAACACTAGTGCTACATCGAGTCGCTCAGGTTAAGGCCCAAAACACAACACCAGTTATACACCACTACAACACAACCTTAACACAAGTGTAACCCGGGACTTGAATTGACCCACTGTATGGCATATGCTCGTCGTGATTAGCCCAGTCGGAGCAGAACAGTAGGACGTTAAACCCCATTTCATTGTTTGATTATAAGTTGGTTTTGAACCTATATGAGTATAATGCTGTATAAAAATTATTGTAATATTTATAGAGATTGTAAAAATATGATTGATGTCACATAAACTACAATGATACGCTTCAAGTGAAATACAACAACTCATTATAATGCTATATAAGAATTATTGTAATATTTATACAGATTGTAAAAATATGATTGATGCCACATAAGCTACAATGATACGCTTCAAGTGAAATACAACAACTCATTGACTTGTCTTTTAGCCGTAAGACTACATGAATTATTTAGCAGTTTTTAAATGTCAATAATGACATTAAATGAAATGCTTCTAGTTCTATATAGTTTTCTTCCTTAAATGTTGTAAAACTAAATTTTAAAACTATCAGCTATGTGATCCAGCCACAGGACATCGCTCTTAAAGGTGAGACCATAAGAAGTGTTGTACAAAGTGTTTTGGAAGAGTAAGCATACACTATATAGGATGTCATGCATGATTAAATGAAATGCTTCTAGTTTCTTCCTTAAATGTTGTGAAACAAGCTAATGTTAAAACATTGGTATATTATATTGCAATTAAATGCCAACATTTGAGAACATTTTAGCCCATTCATCTAAACTTATATTATTCAAATTAGTTTTGTGTTTTAATCAACAGTACAGTACAACTGCCCAAAAAAACACATATATTCCAAAATAGCAAAAGTCTTGGCAAAGCTCTCTACAGCGACAAAAATATGATATTACGTACAAAAATTTAATACAGATTTTAAAACTGTCAGCTAAGTGATCTAGCGACATGACATCGCTCTCAAAGATGAGCCCATAAGAATTGGTACCAAGTGTTTTGGAAGAGTAAGCATATACCCATTAATAAGAAGTTGACTGTTGAGTTAATTTTTTGTCTTCTGCAGATCAGTAAGAATATGTTATATATGGGCAAAATATTTAAGTTGATATCAAGATCGGAGCCTGTCAAGGATGATAAAGATGATATAGAAGAAGCAGCAGAAAATGAAGGAGATGATCCGTCTTTAACATTATCCTGGCTGGTAGCTAAAATGATCAATGAAGCTAATGAGGAAATAGTAGCCAAGTTTAGTAAAGATACTATAAAGGTATGGTTAAACAGGTCAAAGGTTTTTATGATCAATTTCAATAAATCACCATTATATTTACAGTATATCATTAATTTGGAATAAATAACCATTCTTTAACTATATTTATGGTGAATCTCCTGTAACTTATAAATAGACATGTATTGTGCCGAAATCAATCTCCTCATCATCTTAATTTGTTTTTATTTCATTCATGCTTTTCTGTTATTTTTATAAAAAAAATGTTTTATTTTATGTTTAGAGAAATGGTGTTATTAAATGGATAGCAGCATTAAGTTTAGAACTTGAATCTGATCAATTATCAGCCATTTTACCAATAATCATGCCATTATTACAGCGGGAATCAGTATCTGGTTTAGGTAGGTGCTACTGTAGATGTGCGTATACATGTTATACTGTGGCCCCTGATTGTTTGTGCTAATAGCTACATGTGAGGAAAATGTAGATTAAACAAATGTAATTTTCCTGTGAAATGTGACACTTTTCCATTACAGTCCTGATGACAAACCTCTTACAGTTTTTATATTTATTGCAAGTAAAACAATTTTTATATGCCCACATTGAAATGTGACACTTTTCCGTTACAGTCCTGATGACAAACCTCTAGCAGTTTTTATGCGCCCACATTGAAATGTGGTTGTATATTGTCATCACCCCTGTCCGGCGTCCACAATTGCTTATCAACTATTTTCGATAATTACTGATGGAGATATAACTCTTGATCGCTTTGAAAAAATCTTGTAGAAGCCCTTGAGGCTAAGGTGAATATCTGATTGACTTTAAACTTATACAGTGTTTAAAGTCATGAGACAAAGAATCCTATTCATTTTCAATGATTTCTGATAATTACTGTCAGAGTTATGGTCCTTGATCACTTCGAAAAATCTTATAGACGCTCTCGAGGGTTAAGTTAATATAAATTGTTTAAGGCCATGTGACAAACAATCGAAACAAATTCTAATGTTTTCTGATAATTACTTCATAGGTTATTACTCATAATCAGATTTTCATGTGTTGTAAATGTTCTCATCACTGACAAATGAAAAATATGAGACAACACTTGTTGACTGCCCACACGACTTAGCTGCTGTTGTCATATGTTTCATTGCCTTGCAACCTATCTTGATACAAATATGTATCATCAGTTAGTCAGATGTCCCCAGGATATTTTCTTTAGATTCAAGATACTATTGAAATACTCATATATCTTTTTCTTAAAAGCATCTTTTGTTTGTTGAGGTGTAAAAAAAAAATCATTTTTGATTTAGTTTGAAATTCGTACATATAAGAAGCACATTTTGTTTGGTGAGATTGTACATATGAACAAAAAAAGTCTTATCACTTGAGACATAATGATTGATATCAGATGATATTGTAACAATAGTTTTCAATATCAGTTTGCATGTAGTTCATCTTCATTTTTTGATGCATTACATTTTTCTTATCTTGTATGTGAATTTAAATGCAGAATAAATACAGTTGTGTAAATATATTGATTATAAGATGGGAAAAGCCCCGGGGAAGAACGATCTAAGTCACTTTTTCAAGTTAATGGCGCCATCTGGTAGCAAATCGTATAAGCTTTCTGTGGAACAATCAATTTCAGGTAAAAACGATTGGAGTCACATCGAACCAAGGCCCTTCTGAAATGGTCTCCTGGACAAATATGTCCATCGTACCCTTTATTTGACCTTAATTTGGCTGAAAAGTGGAAGTCAGTTGTTGTACTGGTAATGAAATGATGATTCGTATTAAACATCATTTGAAGTTGTAATTAAACCCATTTATTGTTCTGTTCGCGTCAAGCATTCTCGTCTAAAAGTCTGTTTTGCCTTTTGTGCGAAAAGACAAAAAATGTGACTTAGATCGTTCTTCACCTGGACTCTTCGTGTATTATAATTAGACAATATTATGGTATTAATATTATTGTGATTTGTTTATAGATGTAGAATTAAAGCAACTAGCAGATGAAGTTTTAAACATGATAAAGAAAAAGATACCGATTGAAACATTTTCAAAAGTTTATGCCGCTATACAAAACATGAGAACAGAACGACGAGTTGAGAGAAAGCGCAAGAGAGCTGTTCAGGTGAATTTCGTTGTTATTAATGGAATAAACTATAAGATATAAGATTGTTTAACACTATTTTAACTTGGAATTATCCATACTTTTAACATACCAGGTTAGATTATTGGGAGTTGTGGTTAATGTCCTATTACTAATCATGTATTATCACTAAAATTCATTCATAATTAAATATTTTTTTTTCAATTGTTTTTTTTTAGATGATAACAAATCCAGCTTTTGCGACATCTAAAAAGATTAGAAAAAATGTGGACAGAAAGAAAGCTAAAAAACGCCAACATACTGACAGTATATATAATAGTTTTAAATTACCTAAAAATAAAAAATCCAAGAGAAAATGAGTATGCAATAACATTAAAATGTGATCTGTAAAATAACTGGTAGAAAAGAACACTGCAGTTGGTATCAATGGCTGTTATCTCTCACAACCTTGCAATTAATAGGTTTGATTGAATGTACAGTGTACTAATAAATATTGGTATATGTGGAGGAATAGTATGTAACAAATTGATTTCCTCTGATGATGATCAAGCGAGTTGAAGAGATATATACTGAAACACAATGAAAATGCACCTCTGATCTGACTGCAAGTGCTGATGAGACATAATGTAGCTGAAATGTGATTTCCATCTTTCCCATTCTGTCGGATTTAATTTTTTGCTGCGTTTGAGAGAATTGATCTGTTTACGCGATTGTGAAAACATCATTCTAATGAATTATGGTCCTCATGAAACCAGACTACATAAAACAAAAACTCCTTTGTTCTAAACAAATGAATTTTAGATGCATTGTGCTATATCCCGTAAGACATTAGTATAAAAGAAATTTCCTAAGATTCTTGAGGAAGACAATATTCAAACAAAAATGCGTTCATCTACTTTATCAAGTAGAATATAATTAAATGTATATTTTCTATTTAGAAATTATGTATTCATTTAGAATATACTCATATAATTTCTTTGATGTAATAATTGTATCTGAAGCTATTATACATCTAAATTTAAACAAAATATTGAAGTAGTGTGTTTTTAATTGACTGTGGTAAAGTCAGTTTGGTACATGTAATTATTTGTATGTATATACCAGCATAGTTCTATGATATCAGGAACAACAGGTCTTGTATTGACTCTGAAGATGAATTCTTTTAGGGTATGTTTGATTGAAGCCAAACTGGTGGATCTTAAGATTCATATTTAATTCAGCTTCTATTTTCTTATACCCCACATTTTCATGAGACCATATATATTGTCGTTGCCCCTGTCTGTTCGTCCGTTCACATTTTTAGCTTGTGGACCGGCTAGAAGTCACAATTTGTATTTGATTTTAAAAACCGTTTAAATCGCTACACATCAATGAAGGTTGAGTTTGAATTTCTTAAAAATCTGACTGAAACTGCTGGACAAAATGGCTGCTCCTTGTAGGCAATTAGTGTAAAAGTATGTAATACCAAGGTTGTGAACACCCCCCCCAGAAGTCACAATTTTTATCCAATTTTGATGAAACTTGAAATGTATGTTTATAATCCAAAGATCGCGGTTCCTGTTGATATTTGCGTATATCGAATTGTAACTTCCTGGATTATGGTCCCTGATTGTACGAAAAATCATGTTGTGGACTCTCTAGAAGTCACAATTGTTATCAGATTTTGATGAAACTTAAAATATATGTTTATGTCCCAAAGATCTTGGTTCCTCTCGCTATTTGCGCATATCAGCCCATAACTTCCTGGATTACGACCCCTGTAGAGTGACCACAAACCAATTGTGGATGGACAGGCGTCCGGACGGACAGGGGTGATGACATTATACAGTGGACGTATAAAAACACCCATCCATTACCATCCTGAACAGGTTACAGCATTTTAGGCTTTAATGGTGTTGTCAATAACCCTTACAAACTTGAGGAAACAGTCGGAAATACTGTGGGGATTGAGTTTACCATCCCACATTTCTTAACCAACATGCACAGAAAGGGAACAGGACCTCAGTTTTTAGTCCCATCCTAACAACTAGACGGGGAAATGATGCTGCAAAATTTGGATGACATTCTCTGTCATTACCTGAATCAAACCCGTGATCTCCAGGTTAGTGAGCCAGTGCCTTACTCAGTGAGCCTCCGTGGCTCCCTATCACGGCCATCAATCCAAACGGTTTATGCTTGCGTTCAGACATTACCGGTGTATTTATTTCGTGCCCATTCAATAGAAAAGTATCGGGATAAATGTTCAAAAGCATGAAAAATTTATGTCATTTTCCAGACGGCCGTCTAATTTCATATATATACCGATAGAAACTGCTTTAAGTTCAAGTTTTAGATCCATTCAATAAATCCGATTTCCAGACAACAATACAGAACAAGTAAGCAGATACATTATAGATGAAATACAGGATGTTCAGACATGCCACCAAATTCTCATCATTGCATTAACATGATAACTATATGGGCGGTGTCTGGTTGTATAGGTATTAATGGTATTAGTTCATGTAGAAATCTTATAAAACATACATGTAAGTCAATTCATTACATTCTCGAAATCTAATCTCTTGTCTACATTTATCACATTATTACAACAGTAACACACGTATCTTTTTTCTATATTCGCTTTGAATCTGTATTAAAGTTGAACTTGACTTTTGTCTTGAAGATGGTTCATCTCGTCTTGGCCTCTCAGTTATCCAACAGTAGGGGACAAAGGGGAAGACCTACTAGATGAGCTTACCTATAGGATTCAGTCACAAATAAAATGGCATAGCATTGACGTTTGGCACCGGTTCTATGAGATACATGAACGCATAAACAAAGATATTATGTTAAATTGTAGTCCGTTTTCTGGTGTTGTAATATATATCAATGCATATTATGCTGTACGTGCATATTAATTGACGTCACTATCTTTAGCATTATTATACCTATGTATCTCCTTCTGTAAAGTGTAATTTTCAAAACAAGCAGATATGCCTTTGTAATTGTTCCAGACACACGTGGGATACATTAGTCCATTCCACAAAAGAATTGTGACTGCGTTCTTTACCCAGGTGTGAAAATAGCACGTGTGAGTGAGCGCCACTTGAAGCAACCTTTAATGTCAATTGTTATGTACACAGGGGCAGTCTTCAGTTTCTTTCATGTTGTTGCTCGAGGAATCCCTACTAAGTACAACATTTTGTTTGCTAACCGTTAATATTTCATATTGCTGTTATTATTGTAAATGATTTCTTTGATTCTTACAAGCCGATCATGTGTCGGGTCTCTAAAACCAGAACTGTACTGCTAAACCCAAGCCAAGACTATACTTTTCCGGGTGAGACGTCAATTCAACTCCAACACCAAGTGTTGAAAGAATAGCTAAAATAAAGATAAGATGTTAAAAGCATAAATTTAAAAAAAAACAAAAATGCCATGCATGTACATATGTGGGGCTATTGCTTTTAACGTCTGGCAAATGTTTCCAGTAGTCCCTATTGTACGAGATGGAATTCCAATTAATTTTATTTCCTTGACAACATTAATTATACCAAGCTACAGAAACATTTAATTTTCTTGAACGTGTTTTCTGTTAAATGATTAGTTTCTTTAAGCGGAAGTGCAAACTAAAATAAAAACGTATGTATAGATGCTGTCTGAAACTGAAGCTACATTGCTTAACAAGCCAGCAGACGAACAGAAGCTAATGGTACCGACTGAACTAATCGACCACATACAAAAGAAATTAATTTTCTTCCGAAAGCTGTTAACCTTGAAATGCTACCCAGGAACATCAAAATTGCGAGGATCAAATTCCTAATATGGCCTGTAATTGACAGCTAGCGTGCGTACAGAGAACATATTGTCTGTAGTATTTCCGCATGTTTTCTGGGGCGCGTGTGCCACCAAAGATGGCAGAAGTCTTCGGGGTCGAATAAATCCGTTTTGGCTAAATGATCAAAGGTTTGGCTCTTAACTCCAGTACATACTCTCCTCCCATCTTCTTAACACATTCATAAGAATTAGGTCATCACTTCAACCTCAACTTAAAGAAAAACGTGTTTTAATCAATATAAAGTTTTATGTAATTTTGTTGAAGTGTTTCTATAATCAGAGAGAAATATTTTTAATAACATTTTGGGGTATTTCTGTAAAGTACTTGTGCTAAAGTTTTTATTGACGTTTGTAAGTGAATTATTAACTTGGCTAATAAACCGAATTGTCTTAGTTTGGAACACTAAATGGTTGAATCAGTACAGAGGTTGGGGTCCTCGGTCTAATTTTACAAAGCACGTGTAAAGTTTACACATAGCTTGAACATTTTACTATAATATAACTGTTGAATTATGTGTATATCGCCGGAAAGGGGGGGGGGGGGCTGGGATGTCCACTCACCACAAATAAGGTCAAGTCGGGACAAACATGGTATACCTTTCTTTCAATAATTCGCTAAAGGGATATTAAGAATCGGGAGAAAACCTGAAAAACCCCACGGGTCGGTGACATGCGACCTTACTCATTCCCACAAACATGTTGGGAATCTAACCCACTAGCCTAAAATGTACAACTAACAAAAATCAAAATAAACAGGACAACTGTAATCAATGGCTTTTAGCGCTGACAGAATTGAGCAGAGCTTATTTAGCGGTACAGTGTGCCTTACACCTATAAATTTATCCTTTTACATAATGCTAATAGAAAATAGATTGAATAGATCAGCATGCTGATGTGTTCGGGGGGCGGGGTAGCATCAAGCTACCATAAATGAAATGCAAGCTGTAATCTTTTTAATAGACTATGGTAAAGGTGTTGGGTTGTCTTTTTTGCGAAAGTACAGGCGTTTCTTTGGATGTACATGTATATTGCATTTGGTTTGCTACTAATTTCTGATAATTCTAATAACTGGTTCACTCGCACAGATATTTTCTAAAGAATCGTGTAATATCAAGCTACAAGAAATGAAATACAAGTTATAATAATCTTTTTAATAGACTATGGTAAAGATGTTTTTATGCGTAAGTACAGGCGTTTCTTTGGATGTTGTATTTGGGTTGCTACTAAATTCTGATTTCTAATAACGGGTCCACTCTCCCAGACACATCTGGCTGCACACATTTAAGGCTTTACGGGGATACCTATCATTCCAATCCTAGATAGAAGACCATAAAAATCAATCAGATAGCATTAATACACACTAACAGCTGTATATTGATTTACGGGGAACAGTTTCATTATAATAGTTTAATTAAAGCATTGCAACCATATACCTCTCATACTAATTTCCACACAAAATATGTTTACTGTTTATTCCTTCCAATTAACATAACCATGGGTTAGGTTATGGTTTGTAATGTAATTCAACCGCATGTGGGGGTGTGGTGTCGATCGGATCTTAATCAATGAACAAATATGTCTGGAAACCCGATTTTAAAACATTGATGTGGC